CTAATAAGGTTATTTTAATCTTGTAACTTGATATTTACATGTATTCTGATATCGACGCCTTCACTCACTCGAGAATTTACTGACATTTTTTTATCTAATCTTATATATTCAGGTTATCTAATAAATACATGTAATACATATATTTAAAAAGTAAATTATATACATACAAGACCTACGGTAGAAAAAAGCAATGCAAGCAAAAATAAAATTCAATACTATTTTGTGATTTTTATGAAAGCGCCTGTATAAAAGTATGTTGCAGATTCTGTTTTTCATATGAGAGGGATGACATCATTTGTTTGGGCACGTATTTCAGCAGTAGACACACAGACAAAATGGGTTGGATTTTATACCGAACCAAGTGAAGCAAAATATTTCTCTTTCTTATTTATTATTATCTCGATGAATGAATATCCTCTTTCTGTGTCTGCGTCGATTTAAGCTATGCTAAGTATCTGCAATTGCAGATGCTTATGGCAGTGATCGCTTCGCTCTTTCGGCGAATTCAGAATGCCGATAACTCGTTTGTTACATTATAATATAAAAAAATTCAGTCTTCTTTTAATTCCATCTCCTTTTTGCTAAGAGATCTTATTATATGTTTCGTACGATTAAAATAACATATCGTCAGTCATATTTTAAGAATTATACGCATTAAAAGTTAATCATGAACATAAAACGCTTGTTTAAGCTTATGTTGTATTGAGATGAAAACCTATGTATTTAATTTACACCATGTGCAATAAACAAAAATACTGTGTCGATGTAGACTTATTTGTTCCTTATAATCAAGCTGAGGTGAAGTTTTCGTATATTATACAAAGTTACTTTCATTTTCTTCAGTAATTGCTGAAAAGGGGAATACGAAAGTAAAAGTTAATTAGCTGTATGATGTTTTAATTATAGATTTTATGTTAATTTCTATCGCTTCGTCTTCTCTCCGATCTTATTTAATTTGCTCGATATCAAACTGTTACAATTTTTTTTATAAATGTGCACTAAAATGGTGCTGATATTTAATAGAAAATCCTGTATTTATTACATATTATAACAATATGTATGTTAATTTTGTATAAGTAATTAGTAAAATCAATACAATAGTAGTTGGCATAATGCCTACATAAATACTTAGGAACTGTGACGGTCAAAGTAATGGGTTTTTATTAGTATTGGAATGCTACGTACTAATACGCATAATACTCATAGCAAAACTCTGTAATTTCGAAATTGCTTGTTTATTCGATAAACAAGCGCACTTTATATTTCATTAATTACATCCTTTGACTCGCAAAATACACAGAAAATGCACTAAAGCTTTAATGGAAATTGGTTGTTTGTTACTTCAGCCTGTAACTAAGTTGATTTTACATGTTAGTTGGCAGCGTGGAACAAGTCCGATGTAACATTACATAACTTCTAATTTATTTAATTTTAATGTAATTAGTTTTAACGTACTGAAGTTCTCCGTTCATTAATTTTGTACAAAATTAACTGCTTGTATTCTATGTTTGTTTTGCTGTCTGTACCATGATTAAATGCAGTGTGTGTTAATTGTGGCAGAATTGTAATACTTATTTTTAAATTTTTTATAATACTTGTTGAAATAATTGAAATTGGCAGTTTAATTCCGTACCCAGACGTTTCAATTTACCCGTGACGGGTTTCAGTCGGTGTGATATATGTGTTTGTCTTTTTAAAATTGGTCTACAATTTTTAACCTGAGTAAAAATGTTAGGTTTCTTATATGTTATTTCTTTTATTACATTTCTAGGTTTTCTATGATTACATACACTCGTACATTCGTTTTAAACAAACTGAACACGGCATAAAATTATAGTTCAATGAATCTACTTCAAGTTAGACCACACCCTTCGCAGACGTAGTTCTTTCTCATTCCCACTGACGCTCGTGACACCAGCCCTTGCAAATCCAATAAATTAATCGTATTTATGCGCCGCCGTCCCGTATCCGTTTACCGGTAAACTCTCCCAGCCTTTGAGCATTTTATTCATAAGCCACACCGTACTTTGATTGATTAACTTCTGCCGTTTAAATATATCAGGTAGACTTCATTACACCTCAGTTTTGATATCACAGAGTAATTTTAACATAACCAAGACTAGATACATTTACCAAAGAATGTATAAATTGAACATCTCAACTACAATTTCAGGACAAACGCAGTGCTTACCGCTTGCGTTTTACTGCAGTTTAGACGCATTAAGAGATTCTTCTACGTAGATCAGTTCATGTTACCCTTCCCTCTTTTGAACAAAAAAATAGAGATTATATGTTTATGTGAAGTCGTTGTGAGTGGAAACCCACGGTTAAATTTGTAAATCTCGACCTCCTGTCAACAGACCCATTAAGTAGACGAATCTCCCCACGTATACAAAGAATTGGCTTTATAAAGATTGACAATCTTGGCCTCCCAGTGCTCGCACTTCATTGTGAATTCCATCGCAATACCCGGAACTAGGGCAACATGTCTACGGTCATTTTTACGCCTCTTTTCTTACTAGAACGGTATTCTAACAAACATACGTCTTTTATACGCTTTCTTTGTATGTCACAAAATAATTCTCTTTGATAACATAAATTAATAGTTCAATTTGAAACATTATTTTTTGTAGAGATAAGATGTTCACACTTAATAAAAACGTTAGTATAATCGAGTCTGTTCTTTTAATTACAAGTAACTAAAATTTTACTATAAATTTTGGTTCCTACACCAGGAGATTTTTTTGATCCAATATTTTCGTCGCTGATTTTTTAAAAAACTTAATGGTTATAGCATCGTAAACCGTAATGTTAAACATAGTACGAATGCTCTTTCCCTATATTTAGACGGTCACTGTTATCGACTCACATAAAATTATTAATTAACTATTGCGTCAATAAGGATTAATACCAAAGGAAAGTTATTTAAATCTCTATAACTGTATTTATTTTGTAAAAATCCGAAGATGAATTTTGGTTTTATAATTTACTATTAGTAACAAATATGAAGCATTCGTCCAATACTGCTTTGATTGCCATGTAATCAAATTGAAATAAAAATAAAATTATTGATACCAGATCGCGGATGTTTTGACGAAAATTGAAAACGACATACTTCGGTAGTTTAAGACACGTCGAAAGGATGAATTGTAGGCAAAACATTGATAGGGGTAGTTCTCGAGGGTTTTAGAAGATATATGAATGTGAAAAAGACGAGAGAGGTGTGATGGGATCGCGCTAAACAGAAGCCTGTAATCTCTATCTATCCTTCTGGGTAAACATCAACACCGCTCACGCCCGTAGCGTGAGCGGTGTTGATGTTTACTGATACATCTTCACTTATTTTTCCATTCCTTATCTTAAACCATGCTCCGTTCTAAAAAAAATGTCTGGCAACGAATCTATAAACTATTGAAATTTTTGCGGATGTTGCTGGGTAGCAGTGGTCACAAAACATCTGGAGCCGATCCTATGTTTGTCGCTTTTTACTTGAAAAAAAGTAATACACTGAGTTTTATCTTCGGCACAATATGGTTCATTTTCGAATGTGTTTGAACTGAATTATAAGGTTCAATTTCGGCATTGAATAATTTAAATGTTATGTTAAATAATAAGGATAACGATCGGCGTCGGTGACGGCTCACCAGCTGAGTCACGGCCGTGCCGCGCCACCGTCCATGTGTGGCGAGTGGCGACATTACTGTCCACATTATGTGTACACTGTGCACATGCCCCTTACTTTTAATTGAACCATATTATTTTTGTTTATATAAACACTCAATCACGGTTTTGATTAAAGTGGGTCAATACTCAGTAATATATATTTTTAGTAGTAAAAAGTAAAGTGAAACAAGCAGCCACCTCATATTGCTAATAAGTTGCTGTTGTGTTGTATCTTTAATGAACGGAAAAGGGGATAAATAGAAAAATATAGTTGCTCCTCACATCGATCACCTCCCTCGACAAGCCCTCCGCTCTTTTCCATGTTTTTCATTAGGAAAGGGTATGAAATTGAAGGATTCTAGAATTAAACCTTCGACGGGTTCTGACGAAACGTAAAATATTCTAATTCACACTCGACTTCGGTGAGGTCTTTGTTTAAACCGTTCATTAACAAATCTTTTTTGAATTAGAAGACTCTTCGTAAAAATGAATTCTTTTCACATTTTCTAACACCTGTCAAAACACAAATGAGACAAATACAGATTTTTATCTATTTAGATTCAATGAACGAATTATTGTAATGATTGCTAAAATTAATAATTTTTAAGTTTTCAAATATATCAACATTTAATGCTCGTGCTGAATCAAACCTCTGTATTAAGAAATATCATTTCGCAATATTCGAGAAATGTAATTTAAAAATACCTTTGCTCGTGCAAGAAAATATATCTGAATTCAAGTATTGCGAAATAAAATCCAACTGTGTGAAACGAACGAATCGGTAAGACGTCGCACGTGTTCGTAATGAGAGAGATTAGAGTTCTCCAACATTCTTTATACGGTTAGACTTCACGTGGACTTTGCTTTTTGTCTTTACGTTTCGGTTAGACTTCTTCCAGTAACGTGACATTGAGTGTTCGTGACGTGACATGTTTTTAGTACGCCATTGTTGTGGTCCTTTTATTTGCTTGGTTGATGATCAATAAGGTTTTGATCGGCACTTTTATTCCGTAGATAATAAGTTTTATTGTTCAATATACAGCTTTTTATCTGTACTATAAAACGTTATTAATTGATGTATTATGATAGCTACTTTTACTTAACATTATAAGTAATAAAAATTAGTATTATTTATTAAAAGGTAACATTTTCAAATTCTGATAAATCGTAGCTATACTAAAGATTTTTTTTGAAATATAATATATTTCCTGTGATTACTTCGGTAGTAATAATTAGCACTCGTTATCATATTCTAGTCGAGTACAGTTGATTACGGATACTCTTGATACAGTTTTGTGTTATATCTTGTTCAGATATAAAATTTATGATTGTTACAGAAGCGTTGCGCCAAAGCCGCCCCTTACCGCACATACCCGACCTGCCGGATGGGGAAGGCACCAGCGCCGCGCCCCCAACGCCCCAGCTACTCGAGACCGCTAACAGGTTCCTATTTACAAAATGTTACGTTTAGTGGATTCGACAATAGGAGCAGCTTAAGTTTACTATTATACTACAAATGTAAGTGAGATAGCCATTGGTAAGGTGCGCATTTGCGGCTAGGATGTTTGTATATTGCACTGTAGGATACATGCGTTTAGGTTTAAAGGTGTCATTTATTCTCTGTTTAAGTACTTTCTCGTCATATTGCTTTGTGCATTATACCGCCTTCTTTGGGCAACCTTTTTTTATAGAATCAGAAAAAATGAAAGGTCTCACCAGATGTTAACTCACCGCCCCTACTTATCAATGTTCCGCAATAATCACATAACGAACGCTTTGCCTCTATGTAGAATAAAGGTATGGGTATTAAAAGAGCGGTAGCTTTTTCATCGTAATTTATATGATTTTGCATGATCTTTTGAATTTTCTGAGTACATCTTATATGTGTACAAAGAACGCTTTTTGCACAGATGGACGTCAAAGGAGGATCTTCTTGCGCACCAAGAAGATGATGATCCCCAACTGTTCGTTGCATTGTACGACTTCCAGGCGGGAGGCGAAAATCAGCTTAGCCTCAAGAAAGGTAAGCTCCTTCTGCGGATGTAATTTTGCGGGGCTTTAATTGGCCCACCTACGGAACCCACGGCGAAAGGTGCGGTCTATGTGCTGCGGTAGGAAATGAAATTGTGAAATTTTCCTTTGTATGAACCGTACTGACGGCCAGGAGCACGTTGGGGTGGTGGGGTAACTTAATCCGCTTACAATATACTGAAATAATTTCTTCCGTATTTCCAATTTCCTTTTGTAGTTAAAATACTTTGTAATATGAACTCTTACAACCGGAACGTAAAGTCTACTTTTCTGAACATTTAATTAATTAGGAAAGTCGTCGTAAGTTATAAAAGGAGTTCTTATTTAATTCTTGCCGGTTTATTAAGAAATTTACTAACTTAGCGATCTATTTCACGTTAGCAATAGCTGCTTTTGAAAAAGTCATTAAACCAACATTAGACTTTTGTGATTTTGGAAATATAAACAAAATGTTACTTTGACTAGAAGTCCATGAATCCTGGCGTTGTGGCACCGTACCAATTAACGTACGCATACTTTCAAAACATTGCTGTGCTGAAAAAAAAACTCTACTGTTCTATCCAACTGCCCTCATGTAAAAGTAACATAAGCAAAGAGCTGCAAGGTTTTAGAAATTATGGCGCTTTCTCGACTTGTCAGCAGTGTCGTGTAAACAAAACGCGTTCACACCGGATGGAAGCATGTCGCACCGATACCGTACTTGCTGACAATCGAGGCAGGTGTGCTCGTGCGCTAATTGATACATAAATTATTTTATTTAAGCAATTAAGCTCTCTAAAGGTTTCATCTAAATCAATTTAATGTACAACATAATACGTTTTAGTTTTAAGCGAGCCACTTTATTTTCTACTATAAATAAGCCTCAATATTTTTACCTCAACGGAATGCTTTATATTTACAATTTTACAAGACTCTCTGAGATTTATATTTCTGTGATATTGCATTTTATTAAATAGGAAACGAGGAAACTAGGTGGGATTCATTTCCTTTCCAACGGTGAAGTTAACATGAAAGTGAAATTCAATATTATTTTTTAATAAAAACGAGAAATACGCGTTCTTTTATCTATATTTGTAAAGCGTAAATATTTTAATTGAAGTTTTCATTTTATTATACCCATCAGTGTGAATGATAATTAATGTAATTTAAATGAATGAAATCGGAAATGCAATTGGGATATTTAATACGAACTGAATTTAAATCGTCAAATATAATCATAACTTATTTTCTGTCCATTAGGCTAAGTTAATGTATGGTAATAAAAATGTTTGGAAAATCGCAAAAAATTTTTATACAAGGAGGTGGTTTTGATTAATAATCGTAAAGATTCAAATTTCGTTCAACTAAATGCATAGAAACGTATTTACAATTGTTACAATTTTACAGTCACAGTTCCTCGGGTAATTGTAACAATGACCTTTTCAACTGTTCAATGAAGAACTATTGATTTTGTCGAGCAAAAATGCTAGGAACGACGAACGACTCTACTCTTTGAATTTGCATTTTATTCTGTCGTTTTTATTTACTCCTACAACTCGTCGCTGAGATTAGAATCTGCTTAATAGAAGTTTCTTGAAAGGAGTTTCTTATTTTGTACTATCCACTGAATAGAACATTTCAATTAGGAAGGTTTCTTAAGTGGCGTCGGATAATAGCAATGATTTGTATATCTCCGTACTGTGTTCTTACAATTTTTAACTGTGAATAACAATGGGTATACAGTCGTACAGGCGCTCTATCGATCCTTTTACGTATTATATCTGAGTACTAATTTGGGACGTTGGAATGTTTGGCCAATGCTGTAGGTGGCACGCATGTAAATTCTTTTTAATCGATGATGGCACCTATCATTGATGCTAAATTTTTTTTTTAGGTGACTGTTCATGGGAAATACTGCAACTTTTAAGCATTTTCTTTTAAATGATCTAGTATCAAAATGTGAAATATCAATATAATAGAAAGAATATTAGGTATATTGTCTTAAGATTCTGTTTATTAATTTTAGCATCATAAAAGAGATTTACAAAGGAAGCAATCAATTGAGACTGTTTCATTCGCCGCCGATTTACATTTCCTGGTCCCGAATTGTTGTAATTTGGTATCATTACTTCTTGATTATGTACATATATCCTTACTTATATATGATCACATTTTTTATAAACTAGTAACGCGTCCTGTCTTCGCATGCGTACAAAGATAAAAGAGCGCCTTCTGATAAAAGAGTTATGTTGGTTGTGTTGTTTTCAATTGGTTCAACCGTTTGCGAATTTGTTTAATATCTATTGTATTATCGTACTTTTCCCTTTTTCCATTTCTTAGAAAAAGATCAACAAGCAGCCCGTAAATATTTCTTGTTTAAAGATTCTTAATTACCTTTTCTTACTTATTAGCTACCGATCCTGGAACTCAGTAATGAGGGTATTTCTAAGATTTTTGTGTTATTTACAATCTGAGCAGGTTCAAACCAACGTTATACTTTTAATTATATAATTGAAATCTTGTCAGTACCACTGTTACTAGATAAGTGTGAATACGTATTAATAGATAAAAAACGTTTTTTTTTTCATTAAAATATATATTTTATTCTATCTCGTATGAAATTATCTCTTAAAAGGTTGGTAACCTCTTACCGGCTAACGATGTGTAGGACGGGCCGCTACTAGTCAGAGCGACGACCTCACTTGTTGAAGCTTACTGCTTACTTGGTCTTCGTTGGGTGTAATTTCAACAATTGTCCTGAAAGGGAAATAAGGCTAATATTACTTTTTACATTTGTGTAGGCAGGGTAGGGCAGGCACGAATGGAGTACATGTCTAAAGTTGTATGAATGTTTTCGGTCTATGTGTTTTACGTTGTCTAAGCTATGTTGTCTACATTGGTATGGTTATTAATACCCACGAAAAACTAAAGAAATGGCAATTTTCGTAAAATGATTGTTATCTAATTAATTAACTATAAAGCACCATAGCTATAAAGCAATATTTTGCTCTTAATAGTACGAAGCTAATTGGCTTTTCATAGAACAATTGCAAAGATATGGGACATTTTCATTTGTGAAGTCCAAGTAACTTTAAGTAGGCTAAGCTTTTGGACAGGCATATTGTTAAGTAACATGAAACTATAGTAAACACTGAAATACGACCGTTCTGGTCACCTTATTTTTGGTTACTGTAAACAAGAAATGAAAAAGCCTTTTGAATTTGCTTAAGTTATGAACTGGTTTAAATAGAAATGTCAATCATACCTTTGACATCTAAAAGCTGCTTTATATTTAATAGGTTCCGATGCAATACAGAACTTTAATCGTGCCTTTCAAAACAATATGAAGTTTGATCGGTCAATTTGAACGGGAGTAGAGTGGCTGTCACTGGAAAATTGCACCGAAGTAGTTTGCTCAAAGCCGGTCGAAGAGTCAAAGCCGTGCGTGCAGTTGACAGCATTCAAACAGAGCGCCGCCGTCCGCCGTCTGCGCGTCTTTGTTCAATGTTCCGCCATTTTCAGGTTTATGTATTTCAACATGTTACTACGGAAATTATGTGTCTGGGTAACGATGTATACATACGTAAACTTGTTGAAGATTTAAAATGCGACGATGCATAAATTTGTTTTATTTTATATCTTTGTGATTAAAAATTATTGGATTTGTCCAATAACAGTTATAGGTTTCAAAAATTATGGGTAGGTTCTCATAGCTCTCTCAATTCTCATGTAGATACCTCATGCAGATATAGAAAGTGGACGAATGGACTCTTTTATAATATAAATTTTCTTGGTACTAGTAATCATGACGAGCAAAGGAGGCATCACGAGAAATAAAATCAATAGATATTGAAAATTATTAGAAGTCAAACCATAGTCATGAGATAAGTTATACTATTACGACATATTTAACAGTGGTAGAGCCCGCTATAACATCTTCGCACGAATTGGCCCGGCTCGCCCGGTGAAATACCACGACCACACAGAAGACAGGCTTGAAGTGGAAGCAACTCCGCGTTTCATCTGATGAGTGTGCGTCCCGGAGGCCTAATTTAGTCCTCTTTCACTTCCCACCCTTTTTCTTATAAGGAAAGGATCGGAAGTGGTAGTGGACTTTTCAGATAAGACGATGCATGGAAAGGGAAATATTTTCTTTCTGTGCATCCTCTCCTCCGTCGATTAAAGGTAGGCAACGCATATGCAATTGCGTATGTCTATGGGCAACAGTCACTTCGCTATTTCAGCGATTTCAGGTGGTCGCTCGCTCGTTTGCCTCCTTATGACATATAGAAATTCTTTCTATAATAGCTTAATGTTATTTAATTTAATAATTATTACTTTTTAAGCACTTTCGTCTGTACCTTGGACTTAAGCTTTAGTTGTTGGCGGAATTTTTCTAAAGATGAAGTAAAAGAAAAATAAACCAGCAATAAGGTGTTCGAGCATTACTCAAGTCTTGTTAGGACTTATCCTTTCAGGCGGGATTAAATATTTTCTCTTTTAAGTTTTCTACGGTAGTTCAAAGGGATCTAGAAAATTTATATATAACTTTCACGCCCGTATTTCTTTGAAGAGCTGATGTACTTTGTACCCATTATACAGAAAAATAGTTTGCTATCTCTATTTTCTTAAACAAAATAAGATGTACAATATGCTTTTGCACGAGTGTTATGTTAAGAGGGAACGAAAAGTTTTAATTGTTTTTATTTGTGAGGAATAATCAAATCAGAATGAATCATGTGAAATTCATAAATAACACTGTGAGTAATATATAAGCCCCTTCCATATATCAATGTACGTACATATTGTCTGTTTCTGTACAACTGATTGAATTCTGATGCACTCAATACTCGGTCTCTATAGACGTTGAAAGCGTCCATATATAAGGGATGTCACAGTTTCACTTAATGGAGTGTAATATAATGTATGCAATGTAGTAGAGGAATAAATACTAGTTATAGTTCTTAATTTAATAATTCAAAAAAAAGGTAATTGTAAGGAGTTCATTTATACAATAAAATAGAAGGATGACATATATACGTGTTTTGATCCTAACCGATTGTAATAATATTGGCTTTCCATCATAATACCTACTGAGCTTGGTTCATATATTGGTGTATTATATTCCTTTCTGCACTGCCTAGTAAAGAATATATGCGAAAGTTTAGATGGATGTTTGCTTGTAGGTATCGCCAGAACAGCTGTATGAATCTTTATGAATTTTGGCACTGATGTAAAACATCAGCTACTTGTTAAGATTTTTTTTTAATTCAGCACGGACGGAATCCCGGGGGACAGCTAGTATGTTTATAAAATAGTAAAAAGTATGTTTATTACAAACAAAACAAATGTGGCAAATTATATTTTAATAACATTTATAATCGTTGGTAACGTGAACGTATGCAATATTATGATAGCAATGTGGTTTTCATCGAATTATATGTGATGCATTATTAATCCGATAACGATCAACCCTAGGGGTGCGTCCTTAACACGACCAATTCAATTACCGAGGTGAATTCTATAATTGGATACATCGTTAAGGCCATTTCGCGCATTAATGAGTAGGTACATATGTATTATTTTTAATTAATGTAGAATACGTTTTTACATTTAATTTAAATGTAAGTAATGATAATAATATTTATATTGGTTTTGTAGACTATTTTTGCGATATTAAAATATATTTTTTAATATAGCCCTTACTTCTAGAGATACATTGATGTTGTATATTTTTCAATTTTATTTCTGTTTTGTTATAATTTTTTTAACTATAAGCTACTTGAAGACGATGAAGAATTGTACAAAGCTGTATTTTATTAATATTTTACAAAGATTTTGTTGTTTGAATTACACATTTACGTGTCCTTACCAGAAATGGGCCTATATATTTCACAAACTGTAGAGTAGTCAGCATTCAGCAGCAGTAAGCCTGCCTTTAGCCGCACTGATTTATGAATGCGGCGTCTAACACAGATGTGCTGACTCGTTCGAACAATAGCTACATATATTTTCACTTCAATTTTAGTCAGCAATTGAAAATCGCACAACACCATGTTGTATCAAAAAAAAATCACATAATGACTCACTAAAAAGAGATTTAAAGTATTTTATATTCGTAATCGTTAATGATGTAACTAATCAATGATTTCTTTATTGTAATAATTTGTCATCAATTCGAATTGTGTTTTTTTATTTGCGATTTTCATCGCGATTCGTTTCCCGACTATTGTTGATGCAAGTTGCGTTAATAGTAACATAATATATTTCATTAATTATATAATGTAAGTGTTGAATGGTACGATTGATATGTTTGATATTTACAGGTGAACAGGTGAGGATCATGAGCTACAACAAGAGCGGCGAGTGGTGCGAGGCGCACACACTGTCAGGCGGTCGCGTGGGCTGGGTGCCCAGCAACTATGTCACCCCGGTCAACTCCCTGGAGAAACATTCCTGGTATCACGGACCGATATCCCGTAACGCAGCCGAGTATCTGCTCTCTTCTGGCATCAATGGCAGCTTCCTGGTATGTGGCTAATTTTGTAATGAAAATTTACAATAACTCCTACATAAATTAATTTACTAAAATCACAAAGCACAGTGTGTTTATGATAGAAATTTTATCTAAAATCCGACTTTCTTTATGAATTTTTTTTTAATCTATTGTATTGTAACGTTGCAACATTTTTATAGCAGTTATCGAGTAAATGTGTAACTTTTCAAACGTAGTATTCTTAAAATATTTTATATTGATTTTCTACTATACATTTTGTTTCTGAATTGGATTAAAATGGTGATTTTTTCTCTTGTTATAGGTTCGCGAGTCAGAGTCTAGTCCAGGCCAGAGGAGTATCTCACTGCGTTACGAAGGTCGCGTCTACCATTACCGCATCAACGAGGACTCCGATGGAAAGGTATTGTCTTTTATACATTTTATTAACTAAAGTATATTATGTCATAAGATAAAGTGATAAATCAATTTATTGTTTAAAAAATTTTGATCTGTTTATGACATACCATTGTTACTCGTATAATGTAAAACGGTACCGTCCTTATTTAAATAGTAAAAGATTCACATACAAACAATTGCTAACATTTAAAAGTTCAGATTACGTTCGTATGAACTGCGAACCGTCGCGTAGCTCCCATCAACTACTTCTAGATATAGCTTTTGAGGCCTACAAGTTTTAAGAAATTACATGATGTCCACAGGTGTATGTTACATCAGAATCGAAGTTCGGTACATTGGCCGAGCTCGTTCACCACCATTCCGTGCTGGGTGATGGTCTTATCACGCAGCTATTGTACCCGGCGCCGAAGCGCAACAAGCCGACGGTGTTCCCGCTCGCCCCGCCCGACGAGTGGGAAATCGACCGCACCGATATTGTCATGAAACACAAACTCGGCGGCGGACAATATGGTGATGTCTACGAGGCCGCATGGAAACGTGGAAATATAACTGTTAGTTTTATTTTTATTTCGTACTTAAATCAGAATAATTAACAGGACGCCATGTAGCAAGACCACACAGAAGCGTCACAGTTTCACTTGACGCATGTCAAGTATTCAAAGTATTTCTGCATTACGTCTGCTTACTGTGTGTTGGAGGCCAATTTCCATACTCTTCCCTTTCCCAACCTTCTTTAATATCGAAATACACTAAGTAGAGAAGGGGATGTATAAGTAAGAGAAATATCCTCTTCTGTGTCCAATAAAACTAGTATAATACATAGATGTTTATGGGCAAAATTCAAGATTATTTGAATGAGACGTCTTTGACATTGATTTAAAATCATCTAACATAGAATGATACTTAAACAAGATTCTAACAAATGTTATTTGACAAAACAGTCATTACAATTGCAACAATATCAACACAATGTCACCCTTAATCTAGAGGAGCAGACAGGGAGCACTGATTTCCATTTTCCGCGCTCCTGACACACATCTCTTCCTTAATCATCGTTATTAATATAAAATGTACTGTTTGTGTTCTTTAACAGGTGGCAGTAAAAACTTTGAAGGACGATACAATGGCACTTAAAGATTTCCTCGAAGAGGCGGCCATAATGAAGGAGATGCGACATCCGAACTTAGTTCAGCTGCTTGGCGTGTGCACGCGTGAGCCGCCCTTCTTCATCATCACAGAGTTCATGAGCCGAGGCAATCTGCTCGATTACCTTCGCACCGAGAGCCGTGAACATATCGACGCTGTGGTTCTCATGTACATGGCAACTCAGATTGCCTCCGGAATGAGCTACTTAGAGAGTCGCTCCTTTATACATAGGTATCTATTGATTATAATTTGAGTTTGAATTTCTTTTTCCCCTATGACCCTTTTCTTAAGGTAATGATGGGAACGGGAAGTGGATTTGCAGAGGAAATATTCTCATTTTGTGCATCTACTACTCTGAAATTTTTAATAAATAATGAGTTTTAAAAATGTTATGTCCAACTTGGGAAGAAGTAATATTTTGAATCGAAAGGCTGTCAATAATTTACTAAACTTAATTAATTATAAAATAATTTCTTTTAACAGAGATCTAGCTGCTCGCAACTGCCTTGTTGGCGAGAACCACCTAGTGAAAGTGGCAGACTTCGGACTTGCTCGACTAATGCGTGACGACACTTACACTGCACACGCCGGTGCCAAATTCCCTATCAAGTGGACTGCGCCCGAGGGACTTGCTTACAACACCTTTAGCACCAAGTCCGATGTATGGGCATTCGGGATACTACTATGGGAAATAGCCACCTACGGAATGTCTCCATACCCACGAGTCGACTTGGCTGAAGTCTATCACATGCTTGAAAAGGTACGTCAAATTGCTGTTAAGCTGTTAATTTGATATAAATAAATATGTTATTCAAAGTTTTAATATTTTTACCCTTAAAGGTGCAAAATAACAATGGATGAAAGTTTTTATAGTGATATTTAAAGTTTATATGAATGTTAATAAGTTCAAGTAAAGCAATTAGCCTAAATAATTAAATGTTATCAAAAAACAGTATTTAACACGGACGAATTCGCGGGCACAGCTAGTATTATATAATTTTAAGAAACTAATAGATAACTTAGCAATGTAAAGCCAAAACTTAATAAATTTCATTGACTTATATTGAATGGTTCTTCATATTTTTACATCTAATTTTCTTGGATGTGATCTAGTACTTATATTATTTTCATGTTAAAAATAGGTAAATTGCGGATAATTAAATTAATATTAGTAAGTTATGATGTGTTTATAATTGTGCGATTGAGCTCTTACGAGTATTTCACTTCAGTAAAATATTTTTCGTGAATGCTGTTTTATAATTTTACCTTTTTAAAATTATAATGGCCTAGAATTGCTTTGAATGGATTTTTGTAATTATATTGTATTGTGAAGAAATCGCTTAATGAAATGAGATGAAAAAGCTTAACGTGAACTTTAGTAACTAGACCCATAATGGGTAGTTAAGTGGGCACAAGGTGAGAAGAAGAAGTTTTATGACGAATATTGTAACGATTCGGTTCTGTAGAGTGCCTCTGTCACACAATACTTCTAATAAATAAAAATAATAATAACAAATTTAATATAAGTTAAACGCGACGTGTTCGTAACAATTTCTTCAAATAAAAAGATTTGGTACCCCTGAAGATTTGTTTATATATTCTTTATTTCTGCTGCTGGCTAATGTAGTCAGTATAAATCAGTCTCAAACGAACCTTAACAGCATCCAACTTACGTTTGCAACATATATTTTTTTACGCAATAATTAATAGATTACTATCGGTTATCAAAGTTTAAGATTTTTTTTATATATGATCGATAAATTTCTTTGACGAAACAAAAATGACTTAACAGACATTAACAGCAATTGTTACGTTGCACAAAAACATGGGTCTACAATAGTAGGACTAGGCAGATATATCTTCTAAACCAATCCAATTTAATGCATTCAGACTAACATAGAATATACCCTTAAGACTGTTCCCTTTATAACAAAAAAGAAACAGTTTATACAAACAATACAACAACAAAACAAAAAGCAGAAAAACGCATTGATACCCTCCCTTTTCACATCGTCAGTAAAGAACAAATTTACTGTAAAAGCCCAGAACAGAGCAAGATGGCGGCACATTGTGACGCCCGCTGCCACACTGCGGGGAGTTACGACGATAAGTCGAGTAATTGCAGGGTTAATAAATTTCGAAAATTTTATTCATGGAATCTTTATTTCCCGAGTTATTTAAAACAAAAAATAAAACTACATAAAGATAAAACCAAAGATGCATAGGTCTTTTAATGTTCCTTTACATTTGTTTCGAAAATCGTGACGAAAATTCATGGTATTTATTTATAATTTCCCTGTTCTATGTGTTTGGAGGAAATCCGCGGTTAACATTTTATTTTAATATGTGATGATGCATTTTTTTACACTTTTTTTAATTATTTTTTATTAAAAGATTCAATTCAAAATTCATCTTTATTTAAATCATTATTTTCACACGTACTTTTGTAATACTTATATTATTAAATAACCTTAGAGAACTAAATTACAAGATGACTTTCGCGTCGACACAACAGTGAATGAAAATAAAGCGTGAAAATAAACAACAAAAAAGATTTTTTTTTACCATTTTTTTTACTAAAAACGACCCAAAAACAAAGTGTTAACAATAATCGAAAAACAGAGCAATCCCTTAACTTTTACTATACCACAAATTGACTAAACAATGAAACATTTTAAAAACAAAAAGTTGACGTGAGAAACTTGCACATTGTTGCTCAAACATGTTGTGTAAGACGCGAACTACAACAGCAGCGAGAAAATCAAACACCGCGATAACAAAATGACCCGTGCTCGATTGCCTTGCTTTGAATAAAATACAATTCTTGTACCACTCCTGCAATTATTAGCCCCAATTTTCGAAAACAAATATACAAACAAACCGTAGTTACGAGCATCGACACACTTTTAAAAAGCTTGAATCATTTTTAGTGTTTTCAAGGAAAATATTTTTATTCTATAATCATTTTATGGCACCTCAAGTGATGCATCTTAAAATTTTCATATGAATAACAGCAATAATAAGATTGTTCATGCTCGCAACTTTACAAAATATACATTTGTATCAAACACGCACTTTACTTATAATCTTTGTACAAAGCAAAGAAAACGTATACCTATCCTAGTTAACTCCAAACATTTAACAGTCCTTGCTTTTGAGTTGTAAGCTGATAGGGTTGTTTCTAAATATTTTCAAACAATGCATGCGGCAGTCTTTCACTAGTCGTTATATACATTAACCTGGTAATTGGGCGATGACTTCCGTTGATGAGGCAGAACAGTCTAGCAATGGACGGCGTCGGTGCATAGGTGTTTCTTGCATAGCGTACACTGCGGCCGACTCACCGCTATCCTCGAGAATATCTCCGACGCTGATAGTTCTTTGCTCAGTTTACTGCACATCGAATATGACACCGACTTCTTTGAGAAATCCTTGGCCGGCACGCACGTGCGCGCTCGCACCGGACCAATCTCTTGGCCCGTTTCAACTGGCAAATAAAACGTCGTATTAAAATTTTATTTATGATGTAATAAAATATATTAAATAAATTTAATTAATATGATTGATAAATAAATTATAATTAGTTAAATACAACTGTTACCTAGTTTTGCTGATTCGGATGTTATAACAATACAAAGGAATGCCATCCCTGGAATGTAGCAGTCAATGTTTGGAACCTGTAAATGTTTAAAAGTCTAGTTTTGTCTTTTAGCAGATGAAATAATTTTACTTTATAGTTAATTTGGTACTTGCAGTAATATTCGCATAATCCGGATGATCAGGATCCCAACAGCCGGGGTGGTCGAACGATAAACAGTTATAACACTGGATGCCTTTGGTTGAGGGTGAAACAAATTTCTTCGGTTTGGCTTTTTTATGTTTCCCTAAAATGTTACGTGATCTTATAATATGATATAAAAAAGTAATTTAATTATTTAAATGTAAAACTTTTCCAATGTGAATGAGATTAATGAGTTAATAAATAATATTTAAATTAATATCAATATATTAATGAGTTGTATAACTCGAGATTTTTTTATAATCTGTTTGTCTTTAATCTTACCTGTAACTATGAGGGTAACTAGTAGGAGGTACACGAAGGTGATCTTCGATGTCAGCATTATAGGCCCCCGAGGAGAACGTCGTTGCACTTTTTTTATTACGAATTAATGAATTAAAAACGGCAAGGATGCGATTAATGGGCGACCCGCAGAAAGACTGACGAAGTGATCGATCGTGTCGCGTTTATAGCTTTACTGCAAACAATGATGCTTGTTTTGGTTTCGGCATCACGCGAAGACATACAGGCTGTTCGTATATTCTTCGCGTTTGAATTCTTTGAGAAATGTTCATTTTTACATAATACATTAGAGAAATGATAAAAATATATTTGAATTTCAGTTATTGAATTAGTGTTTCAATAAACGTTTAAAATGTTGTCAAAGACTGTAACATTAGAATTATGTTTTTTTTCTAAAATTATAGATAACCATGTACGAATAGACTTGGTTCTCAACTGTTAACCTAATACTAAAGCAAAGGCGCGGTGTCAAATGAGTTTTTTTCACAATTTAAGTAAGATTCGTAATTCATATTAAGTATAATCTCAGTCCTCGAATATCTCATACTAGTAAAGCATTTTATTAAAATTAACCTTTTTTTAAATATATACGTATGCATAAAAATACGCATCTATAAATGAAAATTTGCGGTTGGTAAAATGAAATGAAAAATAAATCAACGTCAAAAAAGTAATTTTTGAAACTCTAATGGAATTATAAACTTTTTCTTCCTTTTATAAGGAGAAAAATGAAACAGCATGTATAACGGTAAAATCTAGTAGTAATGTTTATGTATATATTTTTGTTGATTGTATACGGCGTGGTGCACGGCTGCGATCTACCAACGTACACTAATCCATTAGTTATTTGTACACATAAACATACTTCATTATTAATAGTTGGTTTACTAATCACGCGGCTATGCATTTCGCACTTTGTAACTCCATGTTTGGTTCGACGATGCTTCATGAAATACGATCGACTAACAATATACGTTTCATGTCTACTTCACGTCTATCAATCATTCACCATTATATACGTTGACTAACGTAGATATGCAACACATGCACTACATGTCAGCTAACAACGCATATAAAGTTATATGAAATATTGCATTCACTTACATGAAGCCTTTACTTACCTAAACAAAAATCATTCATCATTACGATCTTTAGCATTCGTAGTAGAGTTTTACCGCGTATTCTGTACGTCTAACTGCCGCATACAGATTCGTTTAGTGGCTACTTAGTGACCATGGAAGGACTCTGAGTTCGGCAGTTAATCTTAGTATTTGCACGCCTTTGTTATTAAAGCGCAATAAGAAGTAGTATCATCTCTTGACTTCTGCTCCAGAAGGTGATTGGATTGTATGATTGGAATAAATGTAGTTGTAAATTACTGAAAAATGTTGATATTTAATGTGATGTATTGCAGGGCTACCGCATGGAGTGCCCGCCCGGGTGCCCGGCCGCCGTTTACGAGCTGATGCGCGGCTGCTGGCAGTGGAACCCAGCAGACAGGCCCACCTTCCGTGAGATACATCACGCGCTCGAGCATATGTTTCAAGATAATTCCATCACCGAAGGTAAGTTTCATATTGTTTGGAGTAAAAACATATATCGTACTATCAAAATGTATTGTCGAACAATTTGTCAGGTAATCGGAAAAAATTACATTAGGTAATTTCGTTTTAAATTGAAACTTATAAGGGATAACATTTAGTATAAGAAGAAATTATCAGGGTACAAATAGTGTAAAGATTAGTTTTTTGTCTGCCTATTCTTTGAATTTTAAATCTAGTTATGTGAGAATCTGAATAATAGTAGTTGAGCTTCATTAAAGACTTACACTACAGCTATAGTATAAGAATGATGAATGATAAATTTCATTGTTACAAAAATGATTAAATTGGAGTACAATGTTAAGATGGCCTTATCTGGGTTCGATTCTTATTGTTAAGTGATCTACGTCCTCAAAGATATTTAATGAAAGGATGCGTGACGTAAAGTGCATAAAAACTGTAACTCTCTTAGAAATGTAAGGAATTAAATGCATTGTATCCGTATGGAGTCCTAATATTTGCATTTTTTATGATGTTCACAGACTTTTACGTGTATGAATGGCATAATCATATCTGACTGTGTGTCATATATTTTTATTAAACATCTTAGAATATGCGAAGGCTAGTCAGTACTTAGAGAGGATGGTATAACCATAAACATGTGTAATATAATGGAAATGTTATTTTTATAAAAAAAATCAGGATCGTGGAAAGTTTTCAAAGGTTATCTTTTATATTTTATGGTTGTTATAAAGATGTTATGCATCTTTGTTTTGCTTATTGATGTCTTAACCCACGTACACTCATTCACTAAATAAAATATTATTTTTTTACTGTTGTTTGTTATAAGTTTTATATGGAAAAGAGATCGGGACCTCTTTCATCATGTCAATATATTATTACTAACAAATGCACCACCAAAATATTTTTTTTATTTGAGTCTTTTAAAAGAGCTGTATTCTTGCAATAAGCACTGTGTCGTTTTTATATTATTCTTATGAACTATTAGTATGTTACTCAGGCATGTAAATACATTTATCAATTTTGTTTGCAAAGAAAGTTGTATATAACTTTATAAATATTAGAACGATGATTCGCACAAAGGGAACTTTCTCGGTTTTTGTTTCGATAGTATAATAAATTCCAGAAGCTTCTAAGTTTATAGTTCGGAGTATGAATTGTGACGTCGTGTAAATTGTATGTAGTTTATGTAACGATTTCCCTCATTCATTTAAAATAGATATGAATGTTGGCTTGTTTAATATTTTAAATATGTTATAGAAAATCATTTAATAATTTAATGTAAATGTTGGACTTTTTAATATAAGATCTACGTATCATTTATGATGTACACTTTGACTTTTTCCTATGTTGTGGATTGCGTAGTGAATCATCGTTTCAGATTCAAAGCGGAGACTTGCACGCTTCATGTGATCGCTCTGTTTTTAGCTATTGTTGTTACCAATTTCACTTATGTATGCTCTAAATTAGTTCTGTATGAAAAAAATAAAAACTTATAAACATGCAGATGAAATAGTTTCTATGCATCTCGTAAAAATTAATGATATAATGTAAAATGGCTAAATTACAAAGTATTTAAAGATCAGAAAAGTGACGCATATGTTTCGCCATAGATCTTAATGGCAAATCAAATGACATAACATAAGTAATTTTATTACTTTTGTTCAATGATTCAATGAGGATCACTTGACTAATAACCCTTATGGTTGTATATTATTTTAATAAATATCATAATTAAATACAGAAAACATTCATGTAAATAAAAACATATATAAAATTTTATAAACACATTTTTATTGTATTTTTATATGATAACAGAGGTTGAAAAACAACTGCAAGAAGGTGGTGGACACGGCATCGGCTCGCAGATGTCCGTGAAGAAGTCAAGCGGCAGCGGGCCGGTGTCCTCCATAGCTATGTCAGAGACACGCGCCGTACAGATGCGGCGCCCCACCAACCGACGTGGCAAACAAGCACCCACACCACCCAAACGCACAAGGTCACACATACTATTTATTCATTACTATTTTCAATTGACTCACCCAAAAAGATATCGTTTTTCCGAGCTTGTATATTTGTTTATAAAACTTTAACGATCTTGAACAGTAAAGTATCGGTAGCTAATAAGACATACGATGCATCATTAATATATAATCAATGTTTTTTAGTTGGTTCAGAAAAGATGGTTAAAAATTTATGTATCCATTCTATTCTTCCCCAAATAAAGATAAATTAGTATGTTTTACCCATCAATATATTGATTATTTTTAGCAACATTTAAAATAAAGTACGTTTTATTCGACAGCCTGTTGTCGTCGTGCAGTTCGTTCCGTGAATCGCAGTACGCGGCTGAAGAGCACGCCGCACACGACGACCTGGCTTCTCTTAATGGTACGTACACACACAAACACACAACTACTAGGATCAAAATAAGTTTATGAGCGATTACTTACAACAGTTTTTCGTCTCTAGCAGTTTACAGTTCAGATATATTAACACTAAAATAACGATTGTTCATAGTCAACAAACACAAATCCACTTGTATGTAAGTGATCATTTCAATGTTCAAAAAATCGACCGTTATCGAACGTATTAAGTTAGCTAATGCTCGGCGGAGTACGAACTGAAGGGCTTCAAACGCCACGCCTCTGCGTGCGTTCGCGTACGCACGCATTTACCTTGGCCCTCTGGTTAAAATTAAATATTTTCACCCTGACGCTATTGTATTCTATTATTTAAACGTTTCAACACATATATTGTCCAATAAAATGTTTACTAGTTAGTTGTAAATATTTAAAATATCTTTGGACAAGAAAATTCTTTAAGATCTTATGGATACAGTACAGAAAAGTTTTTGGACTTTGGGATAAATATGAGATTTTAAGTCAGTTACTTCAACACATGTCAGAAAGTATAAAGAATCTTTGTGATAAAAATGTCATATATTTGTAGTATGAATACATTGAAATAGAGTTCGATGCCTCGTTTACGAAATTTTAATAACATGAATGATCGAACAGAAGAAGAAAGTTCTTTTTGTTATTAATATTTTTCTGATTGCACAATATATTAATTTACGTATTCTTATTATGTAACGATGTCGTACGGCATGAAATCATTTCATTACAGGTATGCCTAAAGTCATCGTCATATTTCAACTCTTGTACAATTTTTAATCCATATTTTTTCAAATATCGCTTTCGCTGTTTGCTTTAAAATGTCTTATTTATTTTTTATTCTTAATGTGTTGCATTGGCGTATTGTGCTAAACGTTAATTTGTTTTATGTATATGTATGCAGATATACATAAAAATATTAATATATTTATTTGTATAAGTAATAAAATATGTTATATAAAATTATATTCATCCTTTTAAAGTGGCGTTTTTGTCTGTTTATCCGCTCGCTCAGGTGTATAGCAATAGGTTCAAAAAATTTGTAAGTATACGATAAATTTCTCGGGTATAGAAAAACCTTTGTTATATAATCTGTAATAATTGTATTCTTTGAAGTTTTCAGTGCATAGATTATGAAAGAGATATTTTTCCTATTAAATGAATTTTAATTATAATATAAACTAGTCATTGATAAATAGAAGAAACGGTACGTCTGTCAGGATTGCAATTTATCTTGTTACGATGATTTACACTTTTTTAATAAGAATAGTGTGACTATATGAAAGGAAACGAAACTAACAGTTGACAGTTTATTTTGACTTGTGTATTAAAAAATCGAGATATAATAATAGTTGTATCTTGTATTCTTGACTGACGTGCGAATTAATTATATATATATATAATACGCCACGCAATACGATCGCCCTCTTGCTTTATACTTTCTCATAATCGTTTTATCATGCTTTTTACAAAGTACATTTTGTTTATAGTAAAACTTGACACAATGTACACCTGCTAAACTTGAAGTATTACATAGTAAGGTTTTACAATTCGATTGTTCGGTATGCATTTTTTTAACCATCATTTCAAGCATTAAAATTTTCCTCTTCGACATTTCGTGTTATGATTATTAGAAATCGCAATGTTGAGTACATTCATGTATTTTACTTTGTTATAAATACATATTTATTATTCTTATTCTCTTTGTAATATATATATATATATATATAATATGTTTATTGCTCCTCGACTTACCCCTCTGCTAAATTTTGATTCATTTGACCCATGAATTTTATCTCCATATTAAGTTATAATATGCCTCAGTAATTAATTTGCTAAGCCTGTAATATTTTTTGTTATGTTTTATCGATGTACTAAATTTATCATACTCATAATTAGGTGCGCTTTTCCTTTTTTTTTATAAAATAGAGAGATAGTTTATCCTTTGTAGGCACCTTGTATTTATAACATATTAAAATAGCATGGAAAAAAGTTTGCAAAGGACAAGGCTCGTTTTTTGCCCGTGTTGCGTGGTCGTCTTCGATACATTCTTTTTTTCGTTTATTATGTTGTCACTTTAGTGGCCGCTTCATTGCATCCTCTATGTTATTGACACTTTTAGATGCGTGTTTTTTTTTGTATTCTTGCATTTCAGTATTATTTTCTTCAATGCTTAAATTGATTTAACGCAATATCGGTATAATTTTCTTTTAGTTTAGGGCTCGCTTTGTGTACATTTTTATAGTATTATTTATTACGTTATAAAATTCTATTTTAAAGTAATGAATATTTATTTTAAAATGTTATTTTATTAGGTTATAATATAATTAATCTTAAATATTAAGTATTTCTTTGTTAAATATTATATAAAGAAAATATATAACTCTATCTAAAGATCTGCGTGTGACAATCTATAAAGCAACGTATAATTTGTTATAATGTTATTTGTTAAATACAGTTTCTTAGTCTGCGATATTGTGCTTAATTCCAGTAGTCGGTACAATTTATAGAATAATGTAAAATATATTGAAACCACCCTAAATTAGAATTGAAACATGTAATAAACTATAATTAAATATATGTTGAGTGTTATTAGCGTGTGTGTATGTGTAGCAAAACGTATGTTATGCAGGTGGGGGGCGCGGCGGCGGGCGGGAGGCGTCGTCGGAGGGCTCGCTGGCGGAGGCGACGCCCGACACGGACGAGTCGGCCGGCGCTAGTGCGCCTGGCGCCCCCGGCCTGTCCGCTGACTGCCGGCACCGGCCCAAGCGCCGCCACCACCACGCCCACCCGCAATACCACGACTTCCAGGACCTAGAACCACTGGTAAAAACCGCTTTCATTGAAATTACAGAGTATAAGCAAATTGTTTAGTAACATCACATGTAAAATATTTAATTTGCATTACAGCGATATACCGGAGTTGTAGTAGCGGCGCTCGAGGTACATAACGTGAAACGCGCCATCAACCGTTACGGCACTTTGCCGAAAGGCGCGCGCATCGGAGCTTACCTGGAGTCGCTGCGGCAGAGCGGTGGCGGTGCCGGCGCAGCGGCTTGCGGCAGCGCGCCCCGCGAGCCCGTGCACGACGAAGCGCGCTCGCTCTCACCGCGGACGGCCCGAGCCCAGCCTCACATGATACGTTCCAACTCGTCGGGTGGAGTCACCGCCCCCGCACCGGCTTCCCCGCGCGCCTCGCGGGCCGCTCAACCTCTCCGAACCTTTAATAGTCCCGCCAAGCCTCGTCCGCGACTCGCTGAACTAGAATTTCCTCCGCCACCTTCTGATCTTCCTCCTCCGCCGGAGGACTCGGTGCAGCCACCTCCGCCTCCGCCGCCCCCAGAGTGCTGCCGTGACGCCGGCACAAGCACCGCAGACCGGCTGGACGATGGCGCGCTCGAGCGGATCGATAAAGATGAAAAACCGGCTAAACAAGTCATGAAAGAACTGCTAGAATTGAAACTCGTCGCCGAAATCAAAGAATGTGCCGACAAAAAGAAACAGAAAGTGGAAGAGACGGATCCCACCCTGGACGTTATCGAAATGCACACCTCTTTTAAAGACCCAGCGTCGCGACTCGTCTCCGAACTCTCCGAGAGCCTCAACATGGAAGTTCTCCGTATAGGGGAAAGAAGAGTCGAGCCGAAGTCAGCTCAAAGCGGTAAAGAGACCGTGTCACCTATTGACTTGAAGGCGAGCCTAAGAAAAACAACCTATAGCAATAATGTTGAAAAGAAACCGGATGAGACAAAAACTAATACTAATTTCAAATCTCAACTAAAAAAAGTTGGAACGAACAAATTTAATAACGCTAGCAAAGACGGCGAGGAGTCAGGAAAATCGATTATAGATTTCAAGTCTCGCCTGCGAAAAGTAGATAATGGAAGTACACCCACCAATGGAACCATGAAAAAGGTCGAGCAGAGCTCACCGGAAGATTCGCGAAAGGACGTATCCACAAAGAGCGATGATTCAGATAAGAAGCGGTCGGAGAGTGGCTCGGTGGACACGAGCGGCGGCGACGAGGAGGATAAGAGACGGAGCACCGGCAGCATTAGCAGCCTCAAGAAGTTGTGGGAAGGCAAGGAGAGCGACGACCGATCCGGTCACAAGATGCGTCCCAGAGGAGAAGACAACGAAGAAGCTTCTCCCGAGGAGCGAAGCGCGGCGTTGGGATGTCGAGGCGGTGGGGGCGCGATGCGGCGCGAGGAGAAGCCCACGGTGGCTAGCAAGCCATCGATGCGCGCGCGCCCGCTGGCCAAGTGCGGCATATACGCCACGCCTCTCGCCGCACCAGATGCTGATTCCGATGTGAACTCGCTTGCATCTCTTCGCGCCTCTCTCGAATGGTGCACGAATGAGGTATACATTATCCAATTATATTTCAATGTGTGTCAAATACTTGCTTAATATAAAGGTGATATTTCGTGTAATAGGTTCGTCGCGGTTGCGGCGGTGGTGGGGGCGGCGGTGGACGCGGGTCGCTGTGGCGGCTGCAGACATCGGAGCGACTGGCGCAGCTGGGCGCGGCTTGCGCAGCATGCGCGGCGGCGGGCGGGTGCGCTCCTCAGCTGCGCGTGAAGCTTCGCGCGGCCGCTGCCAGGCTGGAGAATGAAGCGCGCGCGCTCGCCTCGCCCCACTCGCACGACCACCACCTCGCGGACGGCGTCGAGCAGGCGCTGCGGGACCTCGCAGCCATCGTGCACAGGTATACACTGCTTACTGCTCCAATATTATATTAATAGAATAATATATTCCGTGATATTATATACGTGATTAGAATCATCTTATGTGGTTACATTTATTCTAATGTTATTTACAGGTAAACAGTTACAACCAGTTAGACGTCATCCGAGTTGTTATGTCATCCCGAGGACGTAGGAGGGCCGGCGCGGGCGGGCGTCGGCGTCTCGTCAACGTCAATGTCTACCCTCAACTCCGCGGTATGCTTCCTTCATGCTTTTAATACACCGACCACATATCGGATTAAGGCCAGGAAATGTTGTTCATGTGTAGAAAATCGAGACATCTTTATTTTTACGATTCATTGGATATAAATAAAATCTTGTTTTGATACATTATTCTTGCAATGAACTATGCAATCTCGCATTTTTATCAAATTGTCAGAGTGCGTTTGCTATGATTTTGAAACTTTTCGCTTTATAGCTTTTGTCTAGATCTATTGTTAATATTGTAGTTATCACTAAACAGATGGCAATTATCGCGCTTGCTCGTCGGTTCATTAATTCAAATGTAAGCGAAATGCATTACTCCTTTTGTATATGTACATTGATGCAAGTGTCTCGATTTTTTTTTAAAAAATATGTAAATAAAAAATTCAATCAAAATGTAAATACGCACATTAGCATGTAATAATCATGTAAACTAATATCGCTTAGTAAAATATTTGAAGCTTAACATTTCTTGGACATATTTTTAATTATTTTCAAACATGTTGTAATTTATATAACAACAAAAAAATATGCTTGTAAATTGCAAAACTACAGTTATTATGTGAAGCCAAATTCGATGCGCATCTTGTAAATAAACAAGCCTTGACCGCGTATTTCCTCGCCCCCTACATGCGTGGAACTTGTAGCCTGACCAATAATATAAAAAACTTATGGAACAAATTATTAAAATTCTATCAAAATTATACTTATTTGATGCGCTTATGTAAATAAGCCGTAAAATATACATTTTATTTGACATTTCATCGGATTTATTTAACTTTTTATGGGATAAAAAGTCATTGACACTTTTCGCTTGATTATATTAAGAAAAACGTTGTTGTTAATTTTTAATTATTTGACGAATACCCTCAAATATTTATTTGGTTAACGCGTCGAATTTGGTTGAAATTTAAAAATTTCCATTATTTATAATAACTAACCGTATCTTGTATCTTATATCATTCCATGACCACAACATTCTTGACTGGCATTTAGTATTTTTAAATATAACAATAACTGTTAGATTTAATTAAAATCCTACACAAATATTTATAAACCAAAGATGCGGATATGTATCGATGTATGTCGATATATGTTCGCTAATACCAACCCGTTGCCGCCATGTTTACCAGCGAATACTCTCAAATTAGGCTTTTAATTGTAAGTTTTATTGAAATAATGTTTGTATGAGTGTGTGCGTATGTGCGCGCAATGTGCGTGCGTGCGTGCGTATGTGCGTGCTTGCGTGCGTGCGTGTCTGTGTATTCTGCGTGCAGTACAAAACCCAGTAACGCGAAGTTAATCGATAGTCACAAAGATAACAGTGGATCAATTCGCGGCTCAAGTACAACGCTATAACCGAATTTATTCATTGTAATAATTATATTTTATGTAGTGTTGTACATCGCAACACTCAAACATAATGATAAAACATTCTGTACCAAAGATAAAACATCTAACATTTAAAAGATATATCAATTCCGACGTGTAAGGATGCAAAAATACTATCTTACTAATATTAGAATTGAGAATGTTTAAATGGATGGATGTATGAAACAAACTATCTCCAGTAGGGTACGTATATAACGGATCTTATGGAAATTTGACAGATGTAGAACATATTCTGAACAGAACACATAACACATTGTTTTTTTAATTCCGTGCATACATAGTGGCGCATGACAGCTAGTTTATCCATAATTTGTTTAACGGAGAATATTTTGTTATTGTATATGAAGTGTAGAAACTATTCAACAAAAGTCGGTGGATAAGCATATTTTTGATTCTTTACACTCAATTGATAAATTCTAAATATACGTGAAGGATGTAATATCATTATGTTGGGTGATTTGTTCAATAGTTATTACATAATATTCTAGGTTAAACAATTCTATTCATTGTAATCGTGTAGTCAAAAAGTTTCTCGTTATATTCATTGTATATAACTATTATATTTAAAGACTGAGAATTGATTGATATGATGAATGTTCGAGTTATATACTTCGCATTACATAAATGATTGGATAGCTTTTAAAAACTTCTTATTCGATATTGACAAGCACTTTTAGATTCGTAGTTTAATTTAATATTATAATATAATTTGGATGCGTATAATGTTCAGTGCCAAATAACTTGGGTGGAATTATTCATTTGTGAAGCGGGAAGCCTTCTTAATATTTATATATTTGCATAAATGTTTGTCATTTATGTACGTAGAACGTATTTTTGACAAGTATATGCTATATGATGTTTAATACATTTTCTTTATTACTAAGATAAAATCGTATACTCAGCTTGTATTATGAATATAATGTTATTATATTCGGGATTTTCGGTGGTTTTGTGACGTTGATATGAAATCTTTTAGTATATAAAGTTTTGACTCACGTAAGAGAGCTACCGCTTGAGAATCGCTTTGGGGCCTATTGTCGGAAAACTGATTACCCCCCACCCCCCACCCACACCCCGCGCTGTGCAGTACGCATGTCTCCAGCTGGTTTCACACGAGGACAGCGCAGCGCAATACGAACAGTATTGTCTCGTGCGCTTTCAAACATTAGAATTAGTGTTGTTGCCTCAGTGTGCTACCCTCGTGTGAAACTATTACAGTTACAGGTACCGCACTCCAATGAGTAAACGCATCATAGTTGGCTTGTAATTTATTTAAGATTGAACTTGTCAACGCGACGTTATTGTTTAAGTTAGCATACTGTGATACGGCTTTATAATCTGTATAATTATGCTCAATATTTCATTCAGTGATTGTTATTACAATTATTGGAAAATGTTAAGGTATTTTAATAAATTACTATATTATAATATTCGTGTAGTAACGGTTTCTTTGTATTTAATAATATTTAAGATTATTACTGACATATGCTAGTCTTTATTATAAATATAAATGTATTTCGTTGTAAGTTTAAGAATATACGTAAGTTCTCTGGAATAAAAACGCGTACAATCCTTAAAAACTATTTTAATAATCATTGTATCGGAAGTAGGATTTTTGTTTGTGTGTAAGTCAAAGGGCGGTTCAACGATATTCGCATCTAAGAAGTACAGTCAGCAGTAACATACCAGATAAAAAAGTAATTGGCCTAAGTGTAATGGTGATCGTGCCAAGACATTCCTTTTTTAGTTTTTCATTAGATAATGGATGTAATTTACACTTATTTTTCTGTGTGTATGTTTTATTTTAAACATTGTGTGTATTTCTGATATTTCTACTACATAAAAGTTAAAATTATGTATTTACCATCGTTTGTTTTAAGCTTTGATAAATATTTTCAACTATTGTATAATAATTTTGAAGCTGACTGTACAAAATTTTGAACGCGAATACATTGAAATTGGATGCAGTTGAATTTAAATAATCTAATTTTATTTCATACTAATGCTTGTTTTATTTTTCTCCGTTAATTTGTAATTTCTTTTTTTTTTAAATTTAGTTACGAACACAATTGCCATATTATTAATTAATAATTTTACAACCACTATTTTATGTTATTTTCAATAATTATTTTTCTTATTTATTGTTTTATATCGTTATGATAAAATTTTAATATTATTTTATACTATACTAATATCATCACATTTAAATTTTATTAAAGCTTTAATGCAATTTTTTTAAATCTTTGACTATATGAACCAATTTAACGGCATCCGATTGAAACTTAGGTAAACTAGAAAGAACAATCGCTGATCCCTTTGATATTTAGCACTAAGCCTTCCGGTATCGGCAGGAGATTTGTATAATTTTCTTTTCATAGTGTTAGTGCACTCTGGAGAAGTTATGCTCAAATTGGGACGAATTAATATGAGTGCAGAGGCGTGCCTTGTAAGAAGCCTGGGCGTGACGCGTGTGATGCCAACGAGCGTTTGTGCGAATCAAAAGATATTTATTTTATTAATACTTTATGTAAATTGAACGCGTCGATACGCGCTAATATGGCATTGTTTATTAAACATTTTCGGCACTCGCTCGTCGCAGCCTTGGTTTCCTAGTCGGACGAGATTGTGAGAGGAATGAGTTGCTTTTCAGAGCGTATTATCACATATAATTTGTCTATGGTATATTTGAATTCGGCTGGCGGTAGTATTGATATCGTATTTATAATAATCATAAGCGGTGATACCGTTCTAAGAGAGATAACGTACTCAATTGATGCTCGGAAGATTAATCTTTTGAAAAAGTACGATAGCGTGTTACTCCAGCATCTTTTGACTAAAAAATACCGCTTCGGTTTCGATGTTGCAGTACTATTGTGCTAGCCGCAACCTCTTAATGTACCCTATGAATGTTAGTTTGTAGAATCCAAAGATAAAAAAAAAATTATGTGCGGATATTCAATTGTAATGGAAATAAAAGTTTCATTTTGACTTGGCTTTTTATTTAATCTCCTGCCTTCTTTATCAGATATTAGTAAAATCTCAAAGTAAATGATAAATGTTACTCGTTAAAAATGACAGTGTTTATTTTCTCTAAGTATGGACACAGGTAACGTAGTATTATGGATTTCTATTATATAATAAACAAGCTTAGAAGTCTGGTATAAACTAAATACACTTTAATACATATCGTATCTTCATTTAAAAAAAAATTGCTAGTAGTCCTGCAATAATCTTCGAAATCTTAGAAAATGTGTTCCAGTTTGAGTGAAAACGTCTACGAACACCTATTGTATACCTCAAATAGAGTCTAATACCCCGGAGTGAACCTCAGTTATACGTGAGAAATTTGGGTGAGAGAAATAAAACCAGTGATTTAAAAAGATATTTAATTTGATCAAATTATTTGACAATAATATTATATATGGAATGCATATTTTTACTTAAATTAACAAAATTAGAATGCACATTAATAAATAATTAAAATCGTGGGCCAATAGATTAATTTTATAGCTTGACCGGGAAAATAGAAAATCTGTCATGTACGACTCAATCAACTCCTTCACAATATCTTCTATAAGTAATCGAAAAAAGTACTACAAGTTTCCGCTATATGGCGAAGTGTTTTTTTTATTTTCGGTCAGGTTATATATAGTTTCATAACTACATGTTTTAGGTTATAATAAAAAAATCATGCAAAATTTCCTTTACGTATTAAAAATATATGTAATTTTCTTTTTCAAAGGTTTGCACATAATGGCATTGTCAGACAGTTTGGCTCACATTGTAGAAATGGGTAAAAAATAATACAATATGCATATGTCTTGGGAGTATATAGAAGGAAAATATAATTTTTAAAATTTACCCTGAATTTTTTCTAAACATAAAATGAATGCCTTATAAATTTTCAATCCATTTGAACTGTTATTAATTCTAGCATTACATTATTAACTATATTACTTCCTTAGTAACTGAATTTTTACGAAATAATAGTTTTTGGTCTGTTAAATTGCGATAATTATAACTTAGGTTAAAAAATGGTTCAACTGAATTAGTATTTACTATGCAAAATTACATTATTATTAAAGAATATTTAGACACATGGAGTTTGAAAACCTGTTTTAAGTAGAGGGATTACAAAAAAAAAATATTTTACTCTCTCGAAGTTCGAAATAAAGCAGTAGACTAGGTTTGGTTTACACAGCGCATAGACCACATAAAGACCATATATAATACATTAATCATGTCAACATTTTAATGTTTACAAGCAAGAATATATTAATCTTTAATAAATGTAATATTAATACGTTACTATGATGATACGATTACGTTAATAAATTACGATGAATAAATAATAAAGACAACGAGCATACAAATGACAACATTTAGTGTCGAGTGCAGTCGCCCGCAACTTCCCCGAATGCGGGCTAGGCAAAGCATTTAACACAACTATCAGCAACATACAGGTAGCAACAGATTTAACGAATTATTTTAAATATTAAGCTTAATAACATTCAAGGTTAAGCAAAGTTACCAAAGTTTTTTATGATGGAACTTCAGGTCTACATAGCCCTGATCGGTAAGTTGGCTGTCGGAGTGATCAGAAGAGGTCGCCTTCGAGGGTTCGACTGTAGCCTCGCCTTCGGCAATATTCAAGTTTTCGAAGGATAAGGTAGAAGGGCGCTCAGGGGGTTTGCTGCTGGTCTTGTCATCCGCCGATAGGTCAAGGGACTCTAGCTGAGGCCCCGGAGGCGGCGCCGCTACCTCCCATCTCTCCTCGGAAGTCTCGCCATCCGCCTCCGAAATTGATGCCTCTGACTCGTTGCTTTGAACATTCAAAATATTTTATTTAAATAACATTTAGCTAAAATGGACACAGTACTATAAATTTATATAACTATACAAAACCGAAACAAGTTGAAAGATACGCACGTTTTAAATATAAGTCGCAGGAATAAATCTAGGTAACATTGAAGCTTAGTGACTTTCTTATATAAAAAAATTGTAGTTGCATTGAACGTTATCATTACCAACTGCATGTTGCAAGCATTTGTGGTGCAGTGAAATAACAGTTTTTATGTCTACCACATCTTGCGACGTATGAATTAAATATTCCTTAATTTATCATAAATCTACTTTCAAAAGCTTACGCTAATGCTTCATGTATATCACCTTAGAAGTTAAAAGTGAGAGTGTTAAACCCTCAACCCTTTTGTTATAAAGTTGTGCACAAGCAAATAGAATTATTGCAACGAAAACTTGGAATTACGTGGATTAAGTATGGATATCTTCAGCCACTACTATTTGTTTTTTTATCATTTATTTCTATTCTTATGTGGCTTTGGTACTTAAAAAGTTATTGAAAAGTTAAAGGCATTTTTTTAAAGCATGATGTGTCAAAAGGTCATGTGAAAAAGTAGGAAGAGGATAACAAATAGAAAAATATGTACAAATATTATGAAAACAATATATTTTGCAAAATAAAGCACTAAATATTAAAGCATTGATACAACATTACGCATTATCACAGTACATTACCTGTAATACTTTTTATCAGTCGTTTTACATCTGTTATTATAACTTATTTACATTTGTTTAAAAAAAATACAACAAAAAAGTTTCAAAATTATGAAAAATATAATAAGACTTTCTGTATGGAATATTTTTTTTATAATTTATGCTCATGACGCAATTGCGTCATTAATGAAGAAAAAAATCTTAACGTTTTTTTAAAACAAAAAGTGCATATTTTCATCATTATTTTTCCCTTCACGAGATTCTCAACTGTTATGTATAACTTAAATGATTAACATTAAGAAATAATTGATTACAAACATCTTAACTTAGATATCAAACAATTCTTCCTAAAATTACACAACGCAATCACAGCAGTGGCGTTAAAAAAATATTAATAAATAATATTTAACAACTGCAAGAACTTCATTACTGATAAAAATGTACATTTTAATTTCATTATTATTCTTATTTGATTGTTGATATTTGTAATAATTTTTAGAAATAATAAATTATTACATTTTAGATATTTTACTTTATTTTATTTTATTTACAATTAGTGTACCTTAGGTTATACTGTGATCAAGTTGGTAAATATACATGCAATTTATAATGAAAATGCGTATTAAATACCTATTTTACTATATTATTCATTAATATGAGTTAAGTAGAACTATTTCGTAAAAGCTTTTGATTATTTTAAATTCAAATACAAATATATAAAAACATAAACAACCTTTAATTGAATTTGGGTAAAGGCAAAGTAATAATATTGAGCACCAATTATGTGATGCAATATTATTATGTAAAAAATTAACTTTAACCATGTAAAATGACAATTTTATATTATTGCTATTGTTTCAAGAAATCTGTAGTTAACGAAATTAAATAATTAATTAAAAATTTCTAATTACATATATTTAACTATAAATTAATTGCTTTATTTCTGTTCTTATTTTTAAATTATTAAACAGATAAAAAAACCTAAATACTTAAAAAAATGCTTTTCTCTCTGGTGATGACATATGTATGCTCCTTCAATATAAATATCTGAAATGCAACCAAAATAAGGGAAGCTATATAAATAAAAAAAAATAAAGTGATGTTGTCTATAGCTATGATGTAGTGTGAATAGTGTGAAATATGATGTAAAAGAGTATGCTTTAATATGAGAAAGTCATGCTTTAGAATTATATAACAGGATGCTTGAGGAAAGATAATTAATGGATTCATGGCTGTGAGAACTAGATTTGTATATTTAATTGTTTAAAGTACCTTTTGTATGATAAATTGCTTGACGATGAGCTGCCTCCTTGTATCACCTGAAATGTAACATATAAAGATTAAAAAATAATTGACCTTCAATGTTTATTAAAGTCAAGGCCACTCCTTTATGGTGACCTTAATATCTCGAAATTCGATTTGGTATTTCGTTTTAAATGGTATACCTAACATGTTTTAGTATATGTACTTTAGATTTATTAAAAGCAAAAAAAAAAAAATTGTACAAATTTAGTGAGTTATATTTATAAAATAAAGATTGGTTTACTGTTAAAATTTTCTATTTACAAACAAAAACAAGTAATTTCAGTTCACCTTGTTAATAAAAAAATATAAGACTTACCGAGCCTGCTTCACTTTGCCAATAATGAGTATAGGAATGAGGTGCTTCTATTTGTTGTTCTGGTTTGGATGACCTGGAAAGCATATCACCTATTGTGCATATTTTCTATCAAAAGAAATGCTAATCAAACAATGTGTGTCATCATCGGCTCACTATACGTCCCCACCGAGGGGCTCGTATCCTACCCTAAGTTAAGGGTGATTAGGCCATAGTCAACCACTCTGGCCAAGTGCCGGTTGGTTGACTTCATACATATCTTTGAGTTTATTCAATTTCTTTTTTGAACAATGTGTGTATTTGTGTGTATTTTGCAATAACAATTTTGATTAAATAACATCTTACCCCACATTTTCAGACTCGAAAAATTGATCGCATACTGCAAAATTGTTGGACTGTTTTATAATTTTGGTGTAGTTATAGTGATGTTTTAGAAATCCCAACATTTTTACCGATGGCCCATCTATTGGCAGTTCATAAGGCGTCAGTTTCAAATCCTAAACAATTGATGTTAACATTTAATTGGGTTAAAAAATATAACTTGTATGGTCCAATTGGTGTAAAACTTAAGTTTCTATGATTCGGATGTCAATAGATTTTAGCTGTATAATCTTATTAATATTATAATTGCGAAAGTACAGATGGATGGATGGAGGTTTGTTTGAATGTATCTCCGGAACAGCCCAACGGATTTTGATGAAATTTTGCACACCTGTAGAAAATAATCTGGAAGAATACATAGACTGCTTATTCACAGACAACAGCCAGTAGTTATATGTTCTTATTTTTCTTAAAGCAAATTATAACACAATTTTTGTAACACATTGCAATAATATTTATGCTGATATTGCATGCAGGGTTTGTATAATAAATCAATGCATATGACACATACCTCTAGCATATGGTCAAACAACATTTTTCCCAGACCAGCTCCTTGTCTACTTTCAATCACATAAAAATCTAAGACACACATAGGTGTTGCTATCTTCAATTTGCCTTGACGATCATATAAGTATAATTTTTTTTCACCTACTTTTAAAAGGCCAATGATTTCACCAGTTCCCCTTAAACAAAAAAAAAACAACTGTCTTAAACAAAGATGAAATTACACACATCAGAGGGGTAAGACAAAGTGCATTTGCTATAAAGTGTTTCGATATAGAACTTCAAAAATGTATAGAACTGACAAGTTTTGATAAAGTATGTGATTGTCGCGTGTCAGTTCCATACAATTTTGAAGTTCTTAATGCATATTTATAATTATGCATATTTTCAAAATGTTGGTTGGAAATCAAATTTTTACAATTATTTACAAAAAATTAAATAACTTTTTGAACTATTAAAAATCTAAGAGGAATCTTTGAGCTTAAACAATAGCTAATGTGATCTTCTGCCTAGACAAAGCTTTTGATCAATCCATTATGAATCAACCTGTATAATTTATGTTAATACTTACCCATTACCATTCTCATCTTTAAGAAGGTAAAGTATGTGATTTGGGAATAAGCGAAGTTTATCAAAGGTAGTAATAACTCTTTTGAGGCCTTGAGCTTCAGTAGACCTTTTGCCAATTGAATTAATGATTTCTTCTAGGCTGAAAAATGTAAGCCTGAAACAAGTATTTCAAGCTATAGAAAAAACTTTAAAATATATTTATAAGTATATTGAGTAATAAAGGTCATGTCACACAGTATGAAAGTTTGGTGGAAGAATAAGAGAAGAGAATGAGGTAACTCTGAACCAATTTGGTTTTACGCCAGGATGGGGGACTATGGACGCCATTTTTGCTATTCACCAACTGTGCGAGAAATATAGGTGTGTGCTTAAAAACCTGCACATGGTGTTTGTATAACTCGAAAAAGCATATGATAGGATTCCGAAGAGGGTTTTGTGGTGAACCTTGAAAGTTGATACCTGGGAAATACGTGTACCTAATTCGTACTATGTATTGCCAAGCAAATACACACATCTGGTGTGCTGCTGGCGATAGCGACAGGTTCGGTGTCTTGGTGGGCCTACACCAGGGTTCGGTTTAAAGCCCCTATCTCTTCCTCCAGGTAATGGACACACAGGAGGAAGCACCCTGGTGTATGGTTTATGCTGATGACATTATGCTTGTTGGGGTGGATGAATGCGAGGGACAGAGCAGGTTGGACCAATGGTGAGATACATTGGAGAGAGCTGTCTTAAAATCAGTATGGCCAAAACAGAACATTTCTTCTGTGATTTTGGTAGTCAGACCAGCTTTTCTCCAATTGCTTTAAGTGGTGTAAACCGACCAACCTGCTCCGATTTTAAGTACATCAGTTCACTTGCCCAATACGATGGTGGTGTTGACCGGGATGTGAACAGCCAAATAAATGCAGGTTGGGTGAAATGGCAATAGGTTACCGGTGTGACTAGCTAGAGACAGATCTACAAATCCATCTTAAGACTTGTTGTATTGTACTGATCTGAATATTGGGCCGCCAAGGTTTCAGATGAAAGAAGATTGCATGTAGCTGAAATGCGTTTGCTAAGATGGATGTGTTGTGTGAAAAGAAAGGATAAAATTAAAAATGTGTATATTAGAGGAAGTTTGAATGTTAGTAGTATTGATCGAGAAATTGAGGAGTAAAAGATTAGTGTTGATTGAACATGTTGTGCAGAGGGATGATATAAGCAAAACAGTAAGGAGATTGAATGTGGATGGCTACAAAGGTAGAGGAAGACCAAAAAAAAGTATGGCATGACTGTGTGACAGAGGATATGCGTGGGTATAAAGGGATTCGGATATAACGGCTGATAGAGATGTATGGAGGAGTTCATACTGTGCCGACCCTCAATAGGGACTTATCCCTATTGAGATATCCTACCTGCCCTTAGGCAGGTTGATGATGATGAATTAATTTTGATAAGTCTTATATGATTGGGTGATCCAAAAGACGTAACGCATTTAGGAGTCAATTTTGCGTTACGCCGGTTGCACACGTGGCTCGTCACAAGTAAAACACGAAAGTCTGGTCTGTGCATTTAGCTGCACTAAAGTATTTAAAGGCTGCAAGTAAACTGAGTTTCTATGTGTTTGAAATGTTCAGTAAAAAATTACGAAAGATGCTAAAATGTTAAACACCTACCTTGACTTTTCATCGGTGTATCGGCCGCATTCTGGAATGTCCGCCGCTGTAATTTTGGAAATCCTATTCTTGAACAAATCATTAACTGGGAGAAATGAGGTATTCATTTTACTTTTTATTTATCAATAAGCAATAATAATTCAAGAGCACAAATCTTTAAAGCAAATTTTGGATCGGCGAAACAAAGAGTATGTTAAGTTTTAATGTATAATGAGCAACAAAGAGTATATAAGCGTATAACCTAACCTGACCAGAAAAATACGATCCTGTCACGAGGGCGCCACAATCTCGATTAATAATGCAACACTTTGCGTTTAAATAATATGTCGGTACACTTTTTAATTGTTTATTTGATCATCATTTCACCTTACGCTTATCTCAGAATCGAATATACAGTCGTTATGGGCTAAGCGTATGCTAAGCCAGAGTACTATTTCTATAGTATACTTACTATACACTCTTTGGCCAGAGCCAAGACAAATTTTGGGTCTTTCTATTCGCATAATTTATAAAAATAAATAATTAACTTATTCATTTAATCGAATAGTTGTGTTTAATTTTGAATTTACTACCTATATTATGAGCAAAACGACAAAATTAATGCTTGTATGGGTAGGTAATCGGTTGAATGGAAAGAGGTCATTTGACTTGACAAAGTAAATGACAACGTCAAACTTTTATTTCATTTTGTTGTTGATGTACGCGATTTTCGTTACAAATTATCTGATTTTTTTCGTTATCTCATATACAACGCATTTCTTTTGGATTTTGGCTTATCTACCTGAGCATTCGAAGATTTTGTCCTTTTACGTTGACCGTGGCATAATCTTACGGACTCTCTAGTCTTCATTATACATTTGGTTTTGGCTTACGAACTAACAAGGATTTTCCGATGGATAACATGTAATGGAGAGATTGTTTTTTGGCTAGAACATGTAAATAATGTTGACAGGATTGGAACATCTGCTCGGCAGGTAAATATGATGATCAAAGATATCAGTATCAGCAACAAGCAACGCCGCAATTTTTTTTTTTTGGTAATACAAGAATAACAATGAATACTGAAGAAGACACGTAAGTATGTGATGTATGTTTAACGTTCATCAACTCTACTAATTTTCTCCTTTCTGTTATAGAATGTTTGTGGCAATTTATTGAGCTTAAGCTAATCTACAAAGTGCATCATCATAAATAAAGTTTCAAAAGAATTGAATCGACTGTAATACGCAAATTCGAAGAATTGGGTAGCACTATCAACAATATGGCCTTAAAAATATAATTCTTCTTAAATATTTGAAATACGGTTTTTATTTTCTCCTTTTATCGATACAATCTGTGTTCATAAACAAAATCGAAGTCCAAGGGAAGTAAAAAATCATTGGAAACTGAGTAGTCATCAGGTAGATCCAGCGGATGTCTACATGAGATGCTTAGATATTTTGGCAAATTCAAGTCGCTGTCTGCTCTTTTACCACCTCATAACAATATTAGTTGAGAAACACGTAAGTTTTTCAGTAAGTCAACGATTTTTGTGTACAACTATAAAGCATATTTCTATAAATGTCAAACTCATAAGATAAGTCTGAGTACAGTCTATAAATTTCAGCCTCAGATACATACAAAACGACAGGTACGTTTACGATCGTCTTGAAAATATGATATTCCTTATGTAAGTAAACAACACTGATTATAATTAAAAGTCAGATTTTTACTAAACTTTAATCATAAAAAAAACAATTTAATGTAGCCAAAACTTATTTAGACGAATAATTTAAAAAATATTAAGATTAAAGCAACAAGTTAACAATGTTTCTATTCACATAATATATGAATCATTGATATCTAAATACATAATTAAATCGGACACTCGTTGATATCTATATACATACTTGACATCTACATACATCGGAAATTCGTTTCAAATAATTTATAATATAATGAAAATATCAATCGTAAAGAATACAATTAACATTTAACCTTTTCGTACCAATGTTATAATATTATTAAGATATTCCTTTTTACGATATAATAAAAAAAAATATAAAAATATAACTTTGTTTTTTATAAATAAAAAATAACATTGTTCAATGACAAGTACTTTCTTAATCTTACTAATTAAACGCGAATGTTTGGCGGTATCTCCAGAAAGGCTGTATGGATATTGCTGGAATTTGGCATAGATGTGGAACATAGATTGGAAGCACACATAGGTTACTGATATATTTTTTTAAGACCGAGTGGACGGAGTTGACGGCTATAGCTAGTAACAATATAATTATCCTATATGTTCTTTTGTACTGTGGTACAAATCTATATCAAATTTCAGTGAGATCCATAGAGCCTTTCTGGAAATACTCCCTACCCAATCATCGATCTAAACTTTCCCATTATAAATACATATTAGTAAGATTAAGCAAATGTAAGATTTGGGGCACTGAAAATGGTTCGAAAGTATACATAAACAGTGTCACATACATATTACAATGAGATCCATCTTTATTAAATAAAGGTATTTGAGACTATCCTTAGGAATTTAAATAATAATGATGTAAAAAAAAAATAGTACAAAAATTATATACATTTAGCCATCAGCCATGAATATAACAAAAATGTTCTATTAACTAATATGTGATACTTAGATTATTTATCTAGTTTCACATACAATATTTTGATTAAAAACGATTATTCTATATCTAAAACTGGTATACATGTTTTTATACATTCGAGCCTTGCAGCTGTACCAATGAATCAGTTTTTTTTTATTTTGATGATCCTTTACTTTAGTCCATCAAATCTCAAATATAATCTCTAGGGTAAAAGATGTCCAAAGTATTACCTATCTGAAAATATTTCATTATATTTTTGTTATAATGACTAACGACTATTTGTACGATAACTCACGGCTCTGTTTGCATATGGTGTTAATCTTCCTTATAATAATTAAAAATTATTGTCGGCGCGATTGTACAAAACTGCAAAAGATATACAGGGGAAATACCTGCTCATTGGGGAATAAATGGACTATCCGAGGCCAACCAAAATCCCCGTTTAAAGCATATTGTTATCTTTGTTGTGTCAAAGATAATGCCAAGGACTATATGTTTTATACAGACATTTTGGTCTCAGAAACCAACGGTTACCTGATCATTCTATATCATGTATAAATCACATTGATATTATTTATATACAAGTATAATAAAAAACAAATAAAAGTTACAAAATTGGTATTAACAAATATAGTGCTTCTGCACACATGGTATTCTATAAATTTTCAATTTTATAAAAGCTATACTATGGCATGGTAAACTTTAATTTACTTTTGATTTTAATTGATGAATAGTGTTGTTACATTGTTTATCAATTTTTGAATTATTATTCAACAATTCAAAAATCGTCAACAATTAAGTATATTAAGCATATATTTGTACCTATATTTATTGATTGGTAGGCCGATCTCCTCCAATAGCAAACATCCAGTATTTCTCTTTTGCATTTGCCTTTCATTTAAAAAATCTGAAATGTAACCAAAAGAATAGTAATTTAGTAACTAATATAATAAATGTCAATGATGTATGGATGTTTGTTAGAAAGTATCTCCAGAACTGCTACATGAAACTCGCTAAAATACAGCATAATTGCAGAACATAGTCAGGAAGTATTTTTATTTAATTCCGTCGCGGATGTAGTCAATGGCGACAGCTAGAAGTAACTTAACTAAAAAAAATAAATTTTCTCAGATGTCATTATGATATCAAGGCAAGTGTAAATGGAAAAAAACAATCTTTACCTTCTCTATGACAAATAGCTTGGTGAGGTGCGGCCCCCGTGTATCAACTGCAATGCAAAACATACAAATATTGTCATTTTTTGCATTTGCCGGACAACAAATAAGAAATCTATAATATGGTATAAATTGTTACTAACCGCGCCGGCTTCGCTACTCCATTTTTTCAGACTGAGACCGGAAATTGGCTTTACTTTTGGTGCCATTGTTTGGCTGGAAAGAGAGTTAAATATCTGTATTACGTCAGGGAAAGAATAATTAAAGTTTTAATTATAATATTTCTATGTATGCTTACATTTTGAAAATGTAATGTATGCACAAAGATAGAGAATTTGGATACTAAATATGGCCGTTTGAAAACTAGATTTAAATGTATAATATATTTCATTAAAATTACCCTTTGTGAGAAGGAATTCTGTACACATTGTTCCTGTGTACCTCCTGCAATGTAACAGATACAGAATGTTAATCTTATTGCATATGTTCGATAAAGAAAAGATTAATTATAAAGTTTATTAAAGTTGAGGCTACTTTTTATTAATTTTTACTTTAATAACTCAAAAACTATTTCAAGCAATTTTCTTTGAGTAGAAAAGATTGTTAAATTGATTAAGCAGTTTATTTATTAGTAAGAATCTATTTTACAATTATTGAGATGCTTACAAAAAATATTACAAATTTAATAAATTTTCAAGTGCACATATTGACACTAGTTTGCTTTTTAAATATCTAGTTAAGAGTAAATCATACCAAAAATATCTTATTGGTAAGAAGCTAATACAAAGCACATAAAAAATAACTATTCACCAATCAAAAGATATAAGATTATTACTTACTCCACTGGCTCCATATTCCGAGATTCGCCGAGTTGCACTGTGAGTTGGCATAGTTCCATCTTGTGTTTTGCTTGAATTGGGGAGTTATAAATAAATAAATTGATAATCTCTATTACGTAAGAAAAAATATGATTATTCCATTATCATTTTTTACTTTCGGTCTTAACTTACTTTATTACTTTCTACAAAAATCACTGATAAAAAATAATGAAAAAATACATGATGCCTAAACTTTGCAATAATTTTAATTTAAGATCAACAATATTATCTTACCCTATATTCGTAGACTCAAAAAATTTATCGCATACTGCAAAGTTGTTGGAATATTTTAAAACTTTGGTAAAGTTGTAATGCTTCTTAAGGAACTCCAACATTTTCGGAGACGGCCCATCTATTGCTAGTTCATGGGGCTTCAATTTCTGATCCTAAACAATTGAGATAAACATTTCATTCGAATTTGCTTTAGCTTTCGCATTAAATCTATAGTAACTAACATATTGGAATGTTTCAACCACAAAAAGGTCTTTTACTAGTATTAATTCTGTACATCTTATACAAATTATTGTAGAAAGAAATATAACAAACAAAAAAGAGCAATATGCATGCTGATTCAGTAATTATCAGAAAAAGGAATTACAGTTGAACCTGGATAAGCTAGTGTCCAAGACACAATAATATGTTTCTCACTTATAAAGGTTTCTCTATAGCCCAAGATTCTCGCTAATGGAGATCAACCTAATTATTGGTTGATCACAATAAATATGTTGGTGTGCGAGTACGCGCCAAGGATGCAATGATAGGTTCTAGATATTTAAAAAGACTAATACCTTTACCTGTGAATTTTTATGCAGACAAGTTTAAAAATATCACTTGCATGGCATGTTTGTTTGTTAGATGTATTTATAATAGATTTTCACTGAATAAGATATATATATATTCTTGATTTTATTAAAGCAAATTATAATACAATGTTTGTGACACATTGCAATAATATTTATGGCAATACTGCATGCAGTTTTTGTATAATAAATCAAGTCTAAGTAGTATGAAACATACCTCCAGCATATAGTCATACAGCTTTTTTCCAAAACCTCTTCGTTGTTTGCAGTCTACTACGAAGAAGTCTAATATACACACAGGCGAAGCTATTACTAATTTGCTTTGTAAGTCATACAAATATAATTGTTTTACACCTGTTTTAAGAATTCCAATAACTTCACCAGCTCCCCTTAAACAAAAACAAAAACTTTGTAATTTTTTTTACCAAAATCAAATTTTATTATAGTATCAACCCTACCAACCTTAAAATGTCATAAAAATTGTGGTAAGATGAAATAAACTGGTTGTTTTTACATTACAAAGTTCGAACAATGAAAATGAGGAGCTTTCATTTACATCGATCAAACTTTATATTTTTATTATATATTGTAGATAAGTTTAGTGTAACTTGAAAATTAAATGAAACACAAAAAACAGCCTGAAGTAGTAAAGCAGCATTTTTCTATTCTTCAGTAGATTTTGTGATAACCAACCTATATAAATACTGTTCAAACTTACTCATTACTCTTGCCATCTTTGAGAATGTAAAGTTTGTGGTCTGGTGATAAGCGAAGTTTTTCAAACGTAGTTAAAGTTCTTTTTAAACCTTGAGCTTTAGTAGACATTAGCCCTATAGAATTAATAATTTCTTCCAACCTGCATAACTTAATCCTAAAATTTAAAAGATTAAGATTAGATAATAACATATTAATTAAATGATTAATAACAGGTGAGAGTATATATTGCTCACCCCAGATCTCACACTATATGTAATATAGCAGGAATTTTATTATATGTAATCGACAAATGAAATAAACAATCACGTGTGTTTGGTTGTAACAAAAATTAAAATATTTGTAGGCTGCATAAAACCGTTGTATGTTTAAGATAACAGTTAAAAAGTAAAAGATCTGCTAAATTGTTAAAGACATACCTTGTTTCTTTGTCTAAGTATTGCACACAGAGCGGAATATCCGCCGCTGTAATTTTGGAAATATCTTCTTTGAATAAGTCATTAACTGATAGAAAATTTGTGTTATTCATTTTAAGTTCGGGCACAATATTTTAAAAATCAAATTGTTAAATTCACACCAACAACTGCCAACCAAAGAGTATGTCAAAGAGTATGTAACTACTACGTAGTTGTAGTCAGAGTTGGTGAAAATTCAAACGGTTTAAATTTGTCTATTTACGTGGCAAACAATAGCCAGAATCTAAGTATTTTACGTAATTTTTTGTCACAAACAGACAAACGAAGGAAAAATATGGATACCAATGTAACGAGCGCAATAGTGGAAGGTGCTTATGGAAGATTTATTGATTTATTATAAGTTAGAGGGGTTCGGTTGGCCCATTACTTACTACCTATTTTTGCAATTATTATTTAACAACATTGAACCTACATTTTCTGATGTAAAAATATCAAAAAGGTAACTTGGCATTAAAAATTGTCTCGGTGGTCAAATGTTGTTTTTGGACCTATCCACCATGAATACACCGCCAATCTTCATACAAAATATTTCTTTGGATTATCTGTATTTTTCTCATTGGTCAGCGGCAAAGAGTATATAACTATTTCAGAGAGGTGACGGGCCATTGTTTCCAATGAAAATTTTATACCCGGCCGTGTACATTATGCAAAAAAGTCGCGTTTGTATGGAAAAGACCTGCTGTGGGACAAATTAAGCGGTTTTAACTTTTTAACGTATATTGAAATACAAAATGGTTTGGTTTTTATTTTATCAGGTCCGTAAATAATACAAAAATATTGTTTGCAACTTGTATTAAATATAAAAAAATGACCATTAAATTTTAGTAAAAGTTGTTTGGCACGACATGCTTTCTAAATTTTTGAATAAGCTAGCGTTGGACCACAATCTCACTTGATGTTAAGTGTTGATGTGATCAGCAAAATAACAAAAAAATGCCATCAATATAAATATAATTATCGTAAAACATTTATCTACGACGAGAAATCGTTGCCATAAATACCAAACAAACAAAGAACAATTTAGACAACAAAAAGAAAATATAATCCATATGAACAAACTTTATCAAGCACAAGCCGAATTAAGCACTGAGTAATTAAAACTTAGACCTATTACATCAAATAGCTAAAGTAAATATAAGACAAAGAGAGCAACAACTTTAAGAGATTTTAACCAAAATGTTTTGTTTATAAAATAATATTATAAAATTCACAATTCAGAGTATAATTAAAATTTGCCTGACAGAGGCCATTGCTTTGCCATTGTAAGCAAAGGATATTAATAAAAAACTTGAACCTCACTTTTAGCTGGCCCTCTTACTAAGAGTCTCCAGTTGAAGTGCGGCAGTCAATCTGATATACATTACGTAATAGTTCCTCTCTCAATAGTTTTCACCAATTTCTTGGCTTTAAGTTATAATTTTTGTCACAAATAATGAAGTGCCTTTAATACGACACGACAAAATTAAAAACATATCTCAAGACACAAATACTTATAAATTAGGTTATACAGCATTTTTTTTTAATTTAAAGCGAAATCAAGCCTCTTAAGCTATAATAACAGGTATCGACTTTAACACCAATATTTGTGTACATACATTACAGGTATCATGGATTTCCATTTCCAAAATCCCTGTTCAGAGACCTACTATCACTTTCTTTTTGAAACTAAGTGTGATACAGATTTTTCAAATGGGAAGAAAAACTGCTATTTGCTAATATCAGCATGATGAAGAGCACAATAGAACTAAATACACCACAGATACACAAAAACACTTTTAGATACAAAGTAATCAGTGGAATGTGGCTACAGTAAGACTTGAGTCAAATTTCACTGAAAAAAAAATGTTTTAACAATTTTTAAAAATCGTATAAAAACTTTAACAGGTGACAGATGATTCTTGGCTTTTAGCTTTTAGTTTTTCTGCCCATTGAAAGAAAGTTAAAAAAGCAAACAAAATCACAACCTAGTAAAAACAATTTAACGGAAAAAATCAAACATTCAATAAAGCAAATCATATAAAAAAAATTATATTATGACGTAAAAAACACTATACCTTGTCCAATATTTCACTTCATTCTTATTTAGCTGTGTAGATATATAAAAATGAAGTGTCTGTTACAAATCGAAATAAAAAAAAATAATTACTGCAAAGGCATAAATTGTCAAACTAATCAACATATAGTAAACAAGGTATGATATATATATCTATCTATTTGAGGAGCACCTTTTTAACATTTCAGCTTAAACTTTTACAAAATGACTAATAATCGGTTTCTGAGATCTAAATCTCTGTATAAAACATATCATCTCTGTGAATGTTTATGCATTTTCAACGGGGATTAGGTCTCAGAAACCCACAGTTAGAAATACAACATATTGATAAAAAAATAACATAAACAATTGAGAAACTTAGTAACTAATGAGAATAATTTAAGACACAATTTTCAGATCTGAATAAAATTAAAATAATAAGCAGTTTAATATTAATAGCTTAGTTGTTATCTATCTCTGGTAAGTACACATTTGATTCATTAAAAAAGAACTCTGTTTTATTAATTTACTAACAGTTTTTTTTCTAACAAAGTAAAAGTATTATTTGCATTATGCGTTCTTGAAACATAAAGTTTTGTGCCATAGAGATATAAAATAAAAAAGATTTTAAAGTTTTATTGAAACTTTTTCACGTACTATAAGTCTGTGTATTGCTTTGATATTATTATTTTTGGCTCCACATTTTGTTGCAACGCCTTTCGGTTTTAGTATGTAAAAGAAGGGAATATGTATAATGTAGTAAACAGAGATTTAGAATTAAAATGGTCAGAGTAAGCGTGGGTAATTGAAATAATTACATAATAATTACGTAGCGAAGAGATATTGGCAGTGTTGAAAGGTTTTCATTAATGTAGCAGTATTCATTCCTCTTTCGTATCTTCTACCGCAGACAGCAACAATTTCTGACACGTGTGGGTGAATTTGGCTGAAAATAATGAAATAAAGCCTTATAATAAATTTAAAAAAGTTATAATAAAATAAGTTCCAATGATTTGAAGTGCAAGTTATCATTTGAATTTAAGAATATTAAGAGAAATTATTTAACAAAATAACGTCTTCCATATCACCTTTATGCAATTTTGCGTACAATTTGCTTATGAAAATAACACATGGCGTTCTTGATATTATATTTAAAAAATTAAATGTACTCGATATAGTCTGTAGGCGTTGCGGTGGGTGGCGCACTAGCAGGAGGTAGGCGGGAACGCCCGTGAGGGTGATCAGTGCGCCCGCTGCGACCGCGCCCGGCTCACTCCACGCCGGCACCACGAGCAGCGCCGCGCTCGCGCACACGAACACACTCGGCATCCACAGAGCCACCTTCACATACCAACAATTGTGTAATTAATCATTATCCTGCTAATAAACCTTATAAATGCGAATGTTTAGATGTTAGAAAGTATTCCCCGAACGGCTGAACGGATCCCGCTAAAATTTGTAGTCTGAAAGAACACATAGGCTACTAATAAAGATTTTTTAATTCCACGCGGACGGAATCGGGGGCGCCGGCTAGTAAATATTAATCAGGTCTATAGAATATCCACAAGGCTCTATATATAAAAAGCTATAGCTTTGTGGGTTTTTGTGACTGAAACGATTTATTCTTTCAAGTTTACACAATTAGTTAGATAATATAGACATTTTTTTTGTATAATTTCCACTGTGACATATTACTTTTGCTTTCATGACCAGTAACTAATATATTACGAATAATTGTTTCTAGTTACATGTACAATATTTGAAGTTAAAAAGAAAACGTTAGTAAAAACTAACCTTAATCGGTCTCGGTAAATGCGGCTTCTTGTATCGTAGCCAGAGCACCGCGCTGCAGCTGAGCGTCGTGAAGAAAGACTCCACCACCGTGCAGTATGTTATCAATGAAGTCAGACTGTCGGGGATCAGCATGATCAGAGATATCAGCATCTGCCAAAACGCAACATCATATGATGACTACATCTATTACTTTGCAGTAACATTAGCAAATAGCCGACCTTATCGGTGCAATACCAAAAAAAATGTACAGTTATAAATAAAATCAAATTAAAATATGTTTCGAAACCGACCAGAAAGACGAGAGAAGGTAGGGGTGACATCCGAGCCACATTGATGTGGGCCAGCAGTTCGGGCATATGTCCATTGCGGGCGCCGGCGAAGCACATGCGGGATGACGTCATCACGTGCACCGACAGCCCGCCCAGCACCGCGATAGCCACCAGCGCAGGCATACACCACCGGAGCCAACCGAGCGACGCGATCGCGAAGTCCTAACATATACAAAACAATCAATAAATTTAATCAGTCCATATCAAAAGTTTTTTATAAACAACATTATCAAAGTAAAAGAAATGTTAATTTGTGACCACATCCCATAAATATAAAAAATAAGGGAACTGTAGAGAACTATGATAAGACATAACTTACAACGGCAATAGCATCTGTCGCTCTGACACCAATTGGTCCCAAAACCGCTAGGTAGGATAAATTGGCAAGTAGATAGATACCCGTAACCATAGGTAGTGAGATATAGATAGCCCGAGGTAGGTTTACAAATGGTTCCCGTAACTCTTCAGTCATGAAATTCAAGTAGTTCCTATAAGCATGTTAATTATTTTAAACAAAAGAAAACGAAATTACATACTTTAAACTTATTATTTATTTGTTAGATGCTTTGCCTTACCATCCTGAGTAAGAAAATATCCCAGAGTAAAATGCTACCGACCAATCACTGACAGATGTCTTTGTTCCGGCCCAGCCGTCTTGAAAATGTTCCACTTTACCTACAATATATTGAGATTGTTTATTATAACTTAATACAATAGTTACTATGTTTAAATTAAAAAGAATTTTTACACATTTAGTCTTCACCAACTCTTCTGGTAATATGAAATAATTATAGTGGTAAGTAAGGTTATTACACCTCTAAATTCACTATAACAATCTGTGAATTAATATTGAGACCGACAAATCGAGTTGTCCATGCCTGACCTACTTGCTTAGAAAAAACCATTTGTAAACACTATAGTTTGCACTTGTTCATAGACTACATCTCCACCTTAATTTACTATTGTAAGAAAAATATAAACTTAAATAAAATATCATAATACCTTGAGCCATCCAAACAATTCCTCCAATGATAATGACAATAAGTGCTGAGATCTTTGTAAACATGAAAATGTTTTGTACGCGAGTTGTAAACTTTACATCATATGCATTAATGAATGTTAGAAAACCTGAAACATACCTAACATTTAGTGGATTTAAATGCTTGGAATGCAAAAATGACTTTTAAATAGTTTTTTTATATGTATTTAGAATAAAAAGTCAAAGGTTAATATAGAAAAGGCAGTCAAAACATACATATATGTGAACATGTCTCATGGTGAACATTCTAACTGTGGATTCTGAGATTTCAACTGCAGCAACATTTTAGTGTCAGTATTACATATTGTTGTCTTTCTTTCTTCAAAGAGAATGTAAGAGATGATAATAATTGTATACAAATGAGATTGCAGTTTAAACCCAAAGTTACAAGAGTCTTAAATCCTACCAACCAAAACCCCAGAGAACCACAGCCCCTATTACTTGATGGTAGCAATTGTTGGCTATATATTATATTGTTGGTTATATGAAAAACAGACAATTCCATGTATGAAATGATGATTACGAGTATTACGAATTGCATAACCTATTTTTATATAACCTTTTTTAATACTTACAAATGGTGACTGCAGCTATCAGTTTTTTACTCCAAGGATCGATTGAGCAGTTAGGAAAAATTGGCTCCAATACATTGTTAGCAAATGTCAACGCCATTATAGCATTTGTACTGGGCCTACAAAGACAAGATATATTTTCCTTGAGTTACTGTATACTAAAGCTGTAAAATTATTTGATTTAATAACAACAAATTATTCTTATTTCACATTGTACACTTGAAAAACAATATAATAAAAATAAATGAGACATAACCTATAAAAAATTACGTAATTTGTCTGAATGTATCAATTAAGAAAATGTCTTACCAATTTATTTTTCACTTACCTAAATACATAATTTAATGAACACATGGCATACAAGATGTTAAAATAATAGAAGCAGACATATACTAAAGTCTAGCAACACGTAACCAAGCGATAGAATCCAAATGTAATGCAATGTAACAATGATTTAGTTTCTTCTAAGTGAATTCTTTACATGGATTTGTGGATTACAATGGGAAAAAGGTAAAAAGTAATAGGTTTATTTGCAGACTTGTGGAAATAATTGGATTGCAACATTTTAACATTGAAATCATGCAGACAGGAAGATACAAAATATTTAGGGCTTTCCGAGCACTAACTCATCTTTATTTATATTCCAAAACAGTTGATACATGCTATTCACAATGCAATATTGGATGAATGATGTTTGTGTGTAAAACAACTTGCACTTACACAAATATGAGGTTTGCATCCCACAGGTAAAGAAAAGCAGGCAATGGTCCAAATGCTTCATTTATGTAATGGTAATCTCCACCACTTTGCGCCAGAGTTGTGCCTTTGAAGATGATGGATATTTTTAACATTTTTTATGCAATACAGTGCAAGGCTCTTGGGTAGCATTTACATTATTTTGGCTGATTATTTAAACTTATATAAAATTCCAATAAAAGATTCATATAAACTTTACATAATTCCATACAAATTTTCATTCCCTATAGCCTATTGTTATTTTTCACCCTTGAGGAAAGAATTTACAAACTTTGAGTGTCATATTTATTTATGACAAATTAACAGGCCAAAAATTAAGATCCAGCTCCTAGCTCTCAAAATGACTATACTTCCATAAAACTTTTACCCCACTTTTCAATCCCTCATGACCATTTTTCCCCATCAAAAAAGCAGCCTATATCTTTCCTCAGGCTCTAAACTATCTTTGTACCAAATTTAATTCAAATCGGTTTAATTGTTTTGGCAAGAAAGCGAGACAGACAGACAGACAGAGTGACTTTCACATTTGTAATATTGAAACATAAGTAAGGAAGAAAACATAGTTGTTAATCAGATTTTAACATAGACTGGGCTACTATAAATTGCCATAAACATAGTATGTGCCACAACCAATTGTGAAAAAGACATCAAACTATGGGGGAATGGACATACACATATGGCTTAAAAGTGCAGGCTTGTGTCAGGTAAAAAGATCAGGTCAGTAAAAATGTGTTTTTATTATTGTTCACCCCATTAGATTGCAACGGCCTACAATGAGTTAGGGGCAAAATAGACTGCTGAGACCTTATACCATTTATGTTAGTAATGAGATTGCAGTCCTAATATGAAAATTAATAATTATTTGTGAAAATGAAAATATTAAATATGTAATTGTATTAAATAAAAAAAACATTGATCTTCTTGATCTGTGTTAGTGATTTTCATGATAGTGTATATAATGAAAAGCTATAATACCCACTTAAAAATATTAAAAAAAATCGGTACTAACCTAATTCAGCGTATGACATGGCGCCTAAAGTTGCCAAAATCCCGCATACACCCCATACGGTTAATGCTCCCCACACTGACCCGGTTTTTTCTAAAACTTCCTTGGGTGAAATGAAAATACCACTACCGAAAATGATGCCTAATATTATAGCGACACCTTCCAGCAGTCCCAATTGTTTACGCATTTTAACCCGTTCCTCACTCATTTTTCTTATATTGTCTCAATACGAAAGCACGAATAATAATGGTTTGCGAAACTTGCTATGATACTCGATCGTGTAATAGATGAAGTTAACCTACATTGACTCACGAGTAATTGACCTTTCACATTTTTAATTATAGCTTTAAATTAAAATTGACGGTAAGACTAATTAAAATTAATAGCTCTATGACATAAATTATACCGAAAGTATAAAAATAAATTATAAACAATGTAAAAAAATTTAACAATTTCGATAAAACCTAACTGTCAAAATAAAACGTCAAAACAAATGACATTTTGAATATAGATCATAAATCCATAGATTCAACAAAAACTTTTCAAAAAATCATGATATTACATCATTGAATTCGCGAACGTATCTATATCTACAAGGACGCCAAAGCATCAACCGTTCCTCTGGTGTTGCAGATGTTCATTGCCGTCGACGACCATTTCGGTGTTTCGGTCACTCATTTGCCCCCACGTCTTACGAATAAAAATCATCGGACGGTAGTCGTAAACGGACCTTAGATAAAAAAGCCTACATGAGATACAGATTTCTGCAAAAGGCGTGTACAACAGAGTACAAAAGATAGAAATCTGGGTAATTAATGGGTAAATAATGATAATTTAACCCAGAGCCGTGTTAAACAGAGGTGGGTGGTGCATTCAATGCATTTGCTCCAGGCGCCTAACATGGTTAAGTCGGCCTTACATATATCCCAAGTTTCTTAGTAATGCTTAAAGATTATTCTCTAATTCTAGCTTGTAGATTTAGAAAATTTTAACATTTTTACTCATACCTCGAAAAGTTTCCTTGTTGTTATTTTGTTCACATATTTAAACCATGAATTTAATTTAAATAAGTAAACCTTTTTTAAAAGTGAACAAGGTGCTCGAAAGAAACAAGTACTAAAGCATACTAAAATTCAATCACATTTTTACAACGCCAGTGTGCAAAGAGAAACACGGAATAAAACTTTTAAGTAATAAATAACACAAAACATTTATTACATCGCTACTGATCGATGCATATCAGATCAGAATAGTTTAGGGCTTATTTCTGGATCCGGATCGGGGTAGTACTGAAGTAAATCAGCAACTGGGGCTTCTTGGTCTTCGTAGAAGTCACATGCTAACAAATATTCTCTCTTGGAATAGTCGTCTCCTTTACAGAACATTTCACCTGTAATTTTAATCATACGTGTACAAATAATAAAAAACACAAGTAATGTCGATTTACCTTCCTTAACTGACTGGAGGGGAACGTACGCTCTAGAACTTTAAAATATTGACAATACCTTCTATATCCATTATATGAACAGGACTTTTTGACTCTAGCGCGCCAACGCAGTAGTGCTCCTCTGTCAAGTCTGGATGCCAATACATGATTGCATCTCTACACGAAGTCCCAGCGATAGGTAATAAAATTCTATCCTATAATAAAATAATTATAAACGAGATGGTAATCGTTGTGACAAATAATTGCTATATAACTTTACGTACTTTACATATTATTTTATTGTTAACAATAGGCTCCTTCACTTCACCTGTGCAGAAAAATTTTCGCTTCTTTCTCATTATTACTGTGCTAATTTCTAAAACGGTTTTGATACTGTTACCTAAAAAAAGATTGGATAAGTATTTTAATCTTACTAATACATATTATAAATGCGAATGTTTTGATGGATGGATGTTTGTTAGAATGATGTCCAAAACGGTTGCATGGATATCGATTAAATTTGCCATAGATGTAGAACATCTGGAAGAAAACATAAAGTACTAATGAAGATTTTTTTTAACTCCGTGCGGATGTCGCCGGCGACATCTAGTTACGTATAAATATGATGGTATGTTCAAAAATTGAATTATAAAGAAATTAGGTACCTTTTTCACCATTAATTGCTTCGAGTTCTCGCATACCCCTCACTTGTGTTTCTCTACTGTTTTGCTGTTTCATATAACTGGCTAACCTGTACATTGCGTCTACGAATTCATCTATGGGGCCTAAACAACAATTAAAATGAACGTAATAAACATGAGCGTTCAAAAACCAAGGCTATATAAAATTGTAGTCAATACCTACCTGTACCGAAACTGCCTCCATCTAGATAATTTAGGAATTGATAAAATCTTAAAGCTTCATCTGATTCTATTTCATCCATGACTGGTCGCTGTAAAAAGATTACATATTAAAAGTGCCTTTTCATGTTCTAGTTATTTAGTATTTTAGCCTGTTGGAAAAATAAAGAGGTTATTAATTCTTTTGTATTGTTGTCACAACCACACAACAATGACGTAATTGTGGTTTAAAAAAAAATTGTATTTGCCATGAGGTAATTTATTATTACGCAAATTTAATTATTTCTTTCTTTATGTCGTCAATGGCATATTTACCAATTAAGTACTAGGCTTATATTTATACGGGGTTGTGTGTATTGGTTATTTTCGATGTTCCAAGATACCAAATACCTTAAAGAAATAACCAGAAGACTGAAAAAAATACTGTACTCACAAACTTTCCGCTCCATGCTCCAACGTCAGAATAAAGAGAATTAATTCTGCTAGGCATCCAATCCAAAGAAGAACGAGCGATTAAAACAGGATGCTGAAAGATAGTGATAAATTAACGTGATAGCTATAGCTTGTGTAACAAAAGAGAGGGTATGGTAATCGTTAAGGAATAAGTGACGTCGGACATTACCATAGAAGCGAGCTTTCCATCTCCACATTTTAAAAACCATAGGATATTTATTAACAAAATAAAAAAGAACATTGCAGTAATACTGCGCTTCACACTTGGTAACTACTACAATAATGGAAAGCCTAGTGCCTAGTGTACCAAAAAATAAAACAATATAAATAGTCGCTTGTTAAATTTTATTGACTATTAGTGTGTTTTGAATTTTTAATTGGCGAAAAAATCTACTCGTGGTAATAACTTATGCAGCAATTTAGTGTTAACAATAAAGGTCTACAAACGACATATTTATGTTGAAGTAAATTTATTATAATTATAATTTATAGTTAAAATTCCTAAAAACCTACCATCTGGTTCTGTAACACTTAGGGTAAGAATACGATTAGAATGATATCTCACACCTAAAAATCGGTAATGCCGTTTAGCTGTGCAAAACTTTTGTCGAATTCAATAGAAATCGGAAATTAAAACACATTTTTCTGGTTAATAATATAATTTATTGTCTATGGATTTGTTAAGGAAAGTTTCTGTGCTTAAATTGGTGATACGAACAGGTATATTTTTAATAAGTCTGTGATTACTACCTCAACAAATGTAATTGTTTGGGGAGGTTTGTTTTATTTAATATCAATGAATTTAGTGTTATTTAAAATGAAGACAAGATATATTGTGTTTAATCTAAAGGAAGTGATCCCTTCCCCGAACCGAACCATAACTATTGCATAACTTTAGATTAGGGCTGCTTGAAAAAATAATAATTATACAAGTAGGAATTTAGAAGGACAAAAGGTTTGGGAGTAAAGAAAAGGAGAAATGAATAAGAACCGTTTAAAAATATACTATTCTATTATATATTTCATACTGTAATTATAAACAATTCCTAACAGATGAGCACATGATTATAGTCAAATTGACTTTTAATAAATATAAGTATTTTATCAACTATCAACATCACAGATTATCTATTAAAACTGCTGAGCGGATCAAGCCTCTGGCAAAATGCAGTCTGCATCAGCCGCTCTGGATGGCGACCACATCGAATGCGCTGCCATAGTGCTCCGATCTTCAACTTTCAAAAAGTCAATATTAAATATATTCGGTAACAATTTCGCGAGGTTTAAAAATTTAATACTATAATCATATATGTTTGTTCAATGACATTGATTAATAATTATTAACAATAATATAATAATATTAATACTTTATAATCGTATTCTATTCTTAATTGTACAGTCAGCGTCATATAGATCGTCACAGACAAGATATGCAAATATATAGGTACATCAAAAGTAATCAATTATATCGGTACAACAAAAGTCCTCAAAATAATAGATACATTCACCCTGCTCAAATACATCGGTACATACACAGCGTCAAATATATGAGTACATGCAAGATGCTCATAAATATCGTAGCAGCCACAGCGTCATAAGTAACGAAGCAGTCAAGGTGCGCAAAAATATCGGTACATTTGACAAAATTGAACTCTATCTCTATATACTTGTGATACAATTTGGAATAAACTACTTCTGTTACATTCATTTGACACTTTGTATTAACATTATAGGTTGTCCGGAAAGTTCGTTCTGATTTTCGATATAAAGCTTACAATAGACTGTAGCTGAAGTGGATTCATTTTCGGATTTCCACCATTATCAAACGTCACAAAAATTTCTATATTGTGAATAATTTCATTTCATTGGTTGAGATAAAACTAATTTTTAAAATTTTAGCCAAAAATAAAAGACGTTTTAGGTATAGAGTCGTACCAATATAATTTAAAAACATTTCCAAAAATTTAAGAGAACAGGGTTTCAATTTTCCTTATAAAGCGGCACGAACTTACTGGGCAACCCAATATTTTTCTTCTCCTGTCATAACGCTTAAATATAAAAGTTTGTCACGCCGAATATGACAGATACGTAATAACTAATATCAAATTTTGCCTTGTCACAATATATACTAGTTTGGCGCAATATTCTAGTATGTTTGCCGTAATATGTAAGTTTACCGGTTCGAATCTCAGGCTACTTTTTTTTCATTTTATCAATCACGGGGTTATTTTTTCATAACCAGTAAAAATTTGGTAATGTAAAATTTTGCTCGACAATTTTTTTTTTATAATTTTCGCTGTCGGGTAGAAAGAAATTTAAATAAAGTTAACAACAATTAGGTCAGACCATCGCCGGTGAAGTGAGTGGGCGGAGCGTGGATTGTCTTTGCGGGTTTTAAGAATGGTACGCGCGGAAACTATACGTACAAGTGTTATCTACATATGTGTGCGCGCCCACGCACACTGGAATGTTTATTGCAATCGACCAAAAATTTGATGTAGTTTGGATATTGACATTCAGTTTTTTTTTCTTTGTTTCTTAAATATAATCAGTATCAGTAAAAGGTAAAAGTAAAAGTGTTATTTTTACCGGTACAAGTTTAACAAACATGATTAATAAACAAATTACATGTCAATAGCATCGCGTTATCTCCTTCATT